CTTATAGGCATCCTTTTGCCCCCTGGCCCCAGCTTATCCGACCATGGTTCTTCGTGCCGTAGGACTTGAAAACCTTCAATCGAGTCATGATAGTCGTGAAAACAGGAAAAGCTCATATATTGGAGCGAAGACGCGGCATTCTAGTTTGCTAACCTGTTCAGACTTGACGAGATAACCAAAAGGCCGTATTCTACGCGCTGCCCCTCGGCGTTCCAAGTTCATACTGAAAACCCAGATCACAGTCTCTAGGACTGTCAAGGTACCCGCTACTTATCTTATCATATTGCCTATGTTTCGATACTGTTGACAGGGTAAGACTGTTGTGATTTGAAGCTGGTGCAGATCAGGACCCAAGCCGCATCATCGAATTAATTTAATTCTGCACCACTATCTATAAGGAGAACCGAGCCAAGTGAAAGCCAGCTGGACTTCGTCTTGTATCCCAGAATGAATAACCCACTTTCTTTGAATCACTACAATAACGAATACTCCTGGAATAGCAAAAAGTTTAGTATATGGACAAGACGCGACAACCTACTTCTGAATACTTGGGTTATTTCTGAAGGCATATTAGAACTTAGAAAATGGTACGCCTCCAGACTCGTTTGATGATAGCCTGGCCTTTTCGGTAATCAGCTTAGTCAGTGGTGTTCTGGGTTCGTATTCGATAGAGCGACCCATTATTTACTGATGTAAGGTAATTACAGAGGTCATGTCCAGCCTGCACAGCCACCGCCTTTAAACAGATAAGCCACAATACTTGGAAAACCTGTAATTTGAGTGTTACATGAAACAGGTATTATACCGTATGATACCATTACCGTGTGGTTTCATCCACATGACATTTCCACTCGGCCTCCGCCGATTCGATATTATTTTGAACACCCCTCAGGAACTGGCATCTAGGCAAAATTGCCCGTAAAATCAACGACGCTAGTTCCGCGAGGATCGAATGGGCAAGCATAGCTTGGTACTCGTGCAACGAATTGACCATCTTATCGTAGGCCAAAAACATCGGAGGCTAGAGCTTTTCCTAACACCAGCTAGTTCACTAATGCTGTTCGCCGGACCACTCAGGCTGGCTTTGCCCAGACCTCAAGAAATATGAAGCTCGACGCAGTAGCTAGAGTACTCGCTGACCATTCGGTTCAAACTGACTGTCCTATCCAAGTCATGCTGATAATTCCAGTGGCTCTGGGCCCTGGGAGATCTATCTTTGTAAAGTGCCTTTGGCAGTTCGGTTCCACCTGCTGCCCTCTACTCTTTTTTGTCGTTATTTCTCGCTTTTCTGCTGCTTATGTGACAGTTTAGCTGAAGATTTCCCCAACCTCCGCAAAGCAACAATGAGGCTTTCTTCGTCAACGCTCGAGATGATTTGTGTTATGATGCCTACGCACACACACTGTATTTAGCTGCAGGCACCGAGCTAGTATTGGGTTCGAAGACTATCATATATCAAACCGAGGTAACACCACTAGACAATGCCGGGCTCACGCAAGGCTCTCTGTTATCTTTGCATTCTTCAACTGTGATCTGGTCGATCAACCGGCCAGTTTTTGCGGTGGGGTATCCGCCTTCATCGACGACTACTTCCACTGGCGAGTTGGCTGGAGTGCCGGAGAGAATCTGGCCACAATTCAGTCAGAGGACATAACCCGGATCGAAGCCTGGGCCCAGAGAACGGAGTCCTGCTTCGCTGCGGAAAAGACCGAACTTATTGACATTACCCGAAAGAGGAAAGAGCAGAGCCAGGGCCAGCTTATCATGAATGACAATGTCATCAAACCATCTACGACCGCCAATCTCTTGGGAGTAATTCTCGACCACGAACTATGGTGGAAGGAACATGTACAGCAAGCCGTTAAACGAGCCACCAAGATCAATACTGCGCTGGGCGGGCTGCGACAGCTCCACGAAGCGTGCGTCTCACCAGTGGTTGACTATGCCTCAACCGTCTGGCATGATCTACTCCGAGACAAGACCCATCTACGACAGTTGTGTACCATACAAGGAACGGCTCTCATCCGCGTCCTATCCGCTTTTCGGACGGTGGCCATACCACACTCGATGTAGAAGCACATGTACTGCCAACACATCTTCGTCTACACCACCGCACACAAACCACTATCACGAGACTACATAACCCCAAAACATCCTATATGGAGCGCCTTACTTCGGGCCAAGAGAAGACGCAACAATCGAGGATCGTTCGCTCGGTTCCAGCTATCAGAAAACTACGAACTTGGAGAGACTACAGAAACCGAAATGACTGACCCAACTCCGCTACCACCATGGCGAAAAGAGGCGTTCTCACAAATCAAGATTGAAACAGACAGGGAAACTGCACGGTCAACTGCGGAAATCGTGGTGTACTCGGACGCCTCGGTGGACGGGAAGAACACCTAGGCGTCGCAGCTGCCATGCTCGACGAAGCACTGGAAACAACCGACAGCATACAAGTTCAGGTCGGACCTATAGAGCAATGGTCAGTTCACACTGCCGAGCTCATTAGGATCTTGTACGCCATGAAAATCATCAACAAGCTTGCCCTCCATCACTGGAGAACATCCCATGCGTGGGTAAGATCGGCCACTGTCCTCAGTGAAAGCAAGTCAGCCCTACAAGCAGTTCAGAACTCCAGAGCACAAAAACCATCAATAAGCGCACAATGATCTGAAATTGATTCAAGTCATTTTCAAGGAGTAGAGTGTGGCCGTAGTAGTCCTCGAGATACTCCTTTGCCACATTCAATCGCCCCAAGGATCGTTCAATCTCGGAGGCAACAAGCGAAAAGCTGGTCATGACTTGGCGCTCCATAAGAGATCGTGTAGGAGGCATGATCCATTGCTTAAGCTCCTCATGGGCTTCTTCAAACTTCTCTTGGAGGTTGAGAGTTTTGAGGTGGGAAATGAATGGGTGTAGGTGCCACGCATGAAGCCTTCTGTCAGCATGACAGTGCAGACTTGAGCAACATCGGCGGCTCAAAGCTTGAGAGTATTGGTATTTTGCTTCCAGCCGTGCCAATGTGCTTTGGCGGTAGGAAATTGCTGCTTCTATGTAGCCCGCTACCGGTTTCCCCTGTCTCAGCAACGTTTGTGCTTCTTGCAGGTCCTCTTGAGATGTGTAGGCTGCTCCAAGTTCTGAATTGGCAACAAGACATTCCAATGCCGCTTCTCTCAGGACCGAGGGTAGTTCACTACTTTTGTTTCGCATTAGTGTATAAGACAGACATGGTGCTAGTCATCTTCCATATGAAAGGAACCTAATAATCCAAAAATAAGAAAGTGAGATTAATACCATAATACCAAAAAGGAAGTCTCATCTCAAAGCGGACTCCTCGGAACAGGGTCGGAATAATTTTAACACTCACAATGCTCTTGTTGATATGAACACGGGACAAAGTGTTTATAAATGCCTTTAAGGGTTGAATCTATTCATATAATGCCTTAGCACAATCCAGAAAGACAGAGTTGATACCGAGTCCGAAGATATAGTATCAATGCATAACCATGTGTTAGAGACTTGCTCGTAAAAACTTTCCAATGCTGTACACGGAATTGCTCCTGGCGCCTATATATCATTCCCAAACGCAATAATACTGTGCCTTCACTGGGCTTCTATCCGATCTCGTTCAGTAATTCCAGCCACTATGCTGCACATTCAAATAAGATTGTCCAGCCCAGGTCGGTTTGCTTCTATAGAGCTTCATGGCCCTTTCATATCAGGCGCTTGGGGCCATATCTAGGATGGCTCAGCCTAGAAATTACAGTCCTCACATGTAATATCAAAACTGACTAACTAAATAAAACTACGAAATCGGCAATTTGGTAGGACATGCGGACAAAGAATGATATGCAATTTTTTGTGAGGTGTCTGATATTGAACTGGGTAAATCCCCAGAAGTCCACATGCAGATCCACCATATTTTGACAATATTCACCATCAGAGCTTTCCCCCCATGTAAGTGGTAAAAATATTGAAACCCCAAGTGAGATGGCCGTTCATGTTGCCCTCATTTATGATGATGAGGCGGTAGAGTAAGCTGTTCATAACTTGAAAGTTTAATTGTATAAAGCAACCAGTTGAGTGAACTGAACTATAGTAATGAACAGGCAATTAGTGATGGCAGGGAAGGGAGAGTGGGGTGTAGATTCGATGAAATGAACAATCTGCTCAGCCGAGGTTTGAAATAAACAGTTGTTTGTACTTCCTCGTTTTACAAACCATCCCAATTTCCAAAGATCTCTCTCATTATGACCAAATAAACCAAATTGTGAGGCCAGACCGGTTGAATAACTTTGGAAATTAAATGTTTGCATAGAAATTAATTGACCAGGTTACCTAACCCGTCGACTCAATCTCTCCCCTCTATCGCTCAGGCAACCCGGTTGATAAACTCAATTTAATCACCGGTCACAGCAGTTCTGGTCCGCAAATCTTCTTTTCCTGCCCTCCAGCCATATTTAAATGTTCTATCAAGGATGTTGCTAAGATATGCGCAAACTTGGGGTACCCGTGGATGCAGGAAGCTTCGAGGATAGTCGGCTCCCGATCCGAAGTTCAATTTCATCCATGACAGAATTGCTACTGTAGTGTTGGATCACATGGCTGCTTTGTGAGAAAAAGACCGAGGCCCTCAATCTTTAATCTCCCCCAACCAGATCCTCACTTTTTAATACCTCGCTATTTTCCGATTTATAGTTTATGGCGAATTTGAAGCCTTCATGGTATCGTACTTACAAACGTGTGAACTGAAAAAGCAGTCGCATAAAGGATTATGTCCTCATCCAAAGATTTTCACCATGTTGATTAATTGGGCTCGTCATTACATCATAGCTGCTCAGGAATGGGTGCGTGTTAAATCCACGCGATTCTCCGGTTTTGGCAAACACATCAAGAACTCGAAGCGTATATACTATGGGACAAACATTTGGTGCTCTTTCAGCGTCTTGTATATGTAGCCAGTGTTATGTATGTGAAATTCTGTACAGCTGATCCCCTTAAATGCACTCCACCTTGTCTTGGCCTTCAAGTATCTTTGCCTCGCCATTTTGCTTTCTCCACATACGGGCATAAAGGCCTTCCATACTCACTAGTTCCTCATGGGTACCGCTCTCGGCCACCTGGCCATCGCTTAGAACTAGAATGAGTTCTGCCGACGTGATGGTGCTTAGCCGATGGGCAATGATGAGCGTGGTTCGGCCGTTGGAGAGAGTAGCTAGGGACTTCTGGATATGCTCTTCTGTTTTAGTGTCGAGTGCAGACGTAGCCTCATCCAGCAGTATGATTTTAGGGTTCTTCAGGATAGCTCGAGCGATTGCCACACGTTGCTTCTCACCGCCGCTGAGGCGCAGCCCACGCTCTCCAACTTTGGTGCTGTAGCCATCTGGAAAACCCTTGATCTTGTCATGAATGCCGGCCTTGGAACAAGCCTCGTGCACATCTTCATCACTCGCGTCCTTGTTGGCGTACTTTAGATTGTACATCAAAGTTTCGTTAAAAAGCGTTGTATCCTGCGGAACCACACCGATGTTTTGACGAAGAGAATCAATCGTGATATCTTGGACGTCATGTCCGTCGACGAGAATTTTGCCATTTTCAGGATTATAGGATCGGAAGAGGAGACGGAGAACAGTAGATTTGCCCCCACCAGACTCTCCCACCAAAGCTGTAGTCGTTCCTGGTTGACAAGTGAACGTGAGTCCAGTCAACACAGGATTCCGCGCATCATATGAGAAACTAACATTCCGGAACTCAATCTTTCCCTGGCAAGTGGCCAGTGGGGAAACGCAATGGCTGTCAGTGACTGTTGGCTGCTCTTTAAAAAGCTCCAACATACGCTCGGCATTGATCAAAGACGACTGTATGGAGACATAGAAGGCCCCAAAGAAGCTCAGGGGACCTTGTAACTGGGCCATGTACATCAACAGGGTAACAAACCGACCCACGGGTTGCTGGAGAGAAGAGACTTGATACACAGCGATGAAGCACGTGACCAGTAAACAGGCCAACAAGACAGTGTTTTGACTGGCGTTTAACAGGGTCCCACAGAGGAATGTGTAGTACTCCGCATTCTGGTAGTTGCAGATAGCGCGACGGTATCGGTCAAACTCATGTCGTTCAGCATTGAAGTATTTCACCGTTTCGTATGACATCAACGAATCATTTCTGTGAGCAAAGTCCGTTGCAAACCCCCCGTTCCCTTCTCCATAGTCCAAGATCGCTGCAATATTGCAGCACATGATTAACGTGCTTTCTCGTGCCTCCGGGAGACTAGGCGATCGGCTGTGAAGATTTTTTAAAAGGAAGAAGCTGGACCGAGTGACAAACTGGTCATATGGTATAAGCTTGAAAATAACACCATGGGCAGCCGCAAAAGAACTGACCAGTGTGTGTTCCTCAGTCGGTGCGATTAGAATATTGTTGAACAGCTGAATCATGCATTCCCGCGCTTTTGGAAATCGGTCCACACTGAGTTATGCTTTCGAGAAGTAAAAGAACATCTGCAAAGTATCCGGACGAGAGATAACGGCAAAATAGTGCTGAATTTGGCCAGTTCTAGATTACTGATCGATATCCTGATTGTACCAATCTCTGGAAATGTCTATCCAGTGATGGCGGACTGTCTCATCGGAATTCTCCACTGCAGCACGATAGCGTGCTAGGTCCCCCAAGCATTCTGTCCAGATTTCTTCAAATGTGGAGACCTGCTCTAGAAGAAGCGTCACCATCGAATACGAGAAATATATGAAGCCTAGCATATGGTCCTGCACACTGGGGCTGGGGAGCCTTGTGCGAAACAGCTCCAGATAGGAGTAGATTCCGTAGCGCCACATGCGTCCAGGCATCTCGTATCTTTGAGCCAGGCTTCTCAAGATTGGGCTGGCTGCCGGATGCTGCGAAACAATGAAAAAGTCAAAATGCTTGTGGAGGAGTGTTTGGTGCAACGAGGTGCACAAGCTCCATTGTTCATCCGATAGTCCCGCGGTTTGGTCTATTTGTGAGACGATATCCACCACATTAATGCATTCTCTTTCTGCAATAACTAACTCATCGTATATTTCTCTCACTTCATTGAGCAGCTGGTTTTCGGGGATGGGATTGGCCAACTGTTTGTCCATTTGTATGTTTGAAGTGTGTCCTTTCATATTGACGGCTTCCGTCTCATACCCTGGGACTTGATCAATGTAGCTGAGATTGATGGTCCTGAAAAAAAAGGATGTAGATGCTCGTTTAAGTAGATGGCGAAAAGCCCCATTGATGTGACCTAGAACGCCCGGGTGTATCAGGTTCTGCCGTGCCCTAGTTCTAGACTGTTCCAGGTGTTCTAATCATAGTTTCTGCAACATCGGGGAACTTCTTAGAGAGTGGGTGCCATAGGCGTATTTACGTGGCCGATACCAAAACATCTTGTCATACAGTACGCCCGGGTGGAGCTTTTGCTGTGTGCCGGTCGAAACTGATCCACTTAAAGAGCATGCTAATGATTTGTATTATTTTTTGTCTTGATTTCCTTTTTTTACTCTTATAGTTTCTGTTTTTCTTTTCTTTTCTTTTGATTTTCTGCTGAACTTCAGAGGTAGGAGATTTATCAAGTGGGGTGCGCTGCTGCTCTTGTTGATCTTGTTCAGGCAGAGCCATTGTTACGAGAGCTATTCAATGGTATGGATTTATTAGTATTTCATCTTAATCAAGGACAAAATAAATACTTATACGGGATCAACAGATCAAACGAAAATATTATTAATAAAATTGGAATAAATGAAAATAGAACAGATGAAAATTCAATGAAAGAAAAAATAGAATAAACGAAATTGAAATGAATAGGAATAGAATAAATGAAAATAGAATAGATGAAAATAGAATAAATGAAAATAAAATAAATGAAAATAAAATAAATGAAAATAAAATAAATGAAAATAAAATAAATGAAAATAAAATAAATGAAAATAAAATAAATGAAAATAAAATAAATGAAAATAAAATAAATGAAAATAAAATAAATGAAAATAAAATTAGGAAGCGACCGCTTGAACTCTCTACGGATTATCCCCGTCCGAGGTGCAAATATAAGTCCTGCACAATAAACTTGAAGGGGGGCCTGATCAACTATCTGGTGATTTTTCAGAATAAAGCGCTTTCCATCGTGAAGGAAATCCGAAATCAGGGAAGAGTCGTTACCCTAAAGCTGTCAGTGCATACCATGTATGATTATTCTCGGAACTTACCGATGTGGACGTTTGGAGGCGATCAAGAATACCTGATACTTCTGACGTAAGGCCCAGTAGACTCATTGCTTCCACCCAGTGCAAAAAGTGTACCTGGAGAAATAAATAAGCATTGTGCATCATGCCAGACAAGTCCGTGCATTGTAACAGATGATGCGCCCAGTATCGACACGCGTATTTCGGTGGGGGAGGTATATAAAGCTGAATCGAATCATCGCTAATTTCATTCCTTTGCGTGCCTTCGCTTGGCAGTTTGCAGATGTTTTTCTCCAGGCTGTCCTGCATGATCTGACGGCATCGTTCTGCAAGACACTGGTTTGTATATTTTCCATCGATCCAGAATTTGCTTTTGTCTTTGTGGTGATCCAAAAGAAAATCTCAGAATGACAAATGGAGGAGCCTGACTGGTGTGTCGAAATTGTTTGGTACACTGAGCACCGAGTAGAGCTGGTCTAATCGACATTTGACATCATCTGACTCTCTGTCTATTAGGTGGCTTAGGGAGTTGATCGAGAGCGGAGTGGCAAGAATAATGATCACCCCAACTACCTCCTTGAACTCTTTAAGTAATTCCCGTGACTCTGTTTCATTCTGTCCAGTGAGAAGTTGCTTTAGCACGGGAATATGTGCTGTCCATCTTGGACACATAGGTTGATTGGTCCGTCAATATCGCTTCCAGTCGCTTTTGAGGGTTCCATTTTGCATCACCGATAAAACGACATACGGTAGCAGCTGCAATGAACAAAGGGACGGCCCTATCAACCAATATCTTGGTAGCTGGGACTCCGGGCCAATCTGGTGGCAATGAGCGCCTCTGCTTTAGGCGCAGGAACTGATCCTCAAAATACAAGGATATGTCATGCGCTATCACTGGCTCTTCGATCTCATGTAGGACCAAATCCTGATGGGCATCGGTGATCCCTTCGAAGCCCAGCCTGATCGGCAACTCAGGTCTGCTTGTCAATAAAACCCGTAGTTGTACGGAAGTTGACTTTTGAACTCGTGGCAAGAGCCGGAGAATAGTCCCTATATCGTCTTCTGAATCGTATTCATCTAGAGCATCAATCACGATCACTCTTCTTGTGGTCTCTTCTCGCTGCTCAATTCCAGATAGTGGATCCAGTAGAAGCCGTTCAAATTGTTCCCTCAACACCTTTTCCGAAATATTCGGGTCATCCTCAATTGCCCTCTGAACTCGAGGCAGCATTTGAGGTATGCTGATGACTAGTTGCTCGGTCAATGGTTCTATCTGATATCTGATACCTGATTTCACCATGCTCATTCTCTTTCCTCTGAGCTAAGTCCACCACGATCAGGAATCAGGGCACGGTTCCATGTTCGCCTCAGCCACCTTCATACAATTATCACCAAGAAGCTAGAAGATTGGTGAGACTCGCCCCGTCAGCATTCACCTCCGACCGCCAAAGCCATTCCCACCGACCGAAGCGACTCTCCAGATGTGGCCTGAGCTTTTACTTCCCTCCACTGCATCTTTCCCTTCTCCAATACACAGCCAAGAACGATCCATTGGGTGCGATATATGTCTCAGTGCTGGTTACCCCGGAACCCACCCCATATCTGGCTCTACCTGGAACATGGTGAGCATGCAACCCAATAGAGCTAGATTTTATTGGGTAAACTAGTTCAAACTCTATGATGGGATTGAATGCTGGAAAACACAGGACCGGTTAGGCGATATATGGGGCAAACTATGAGTGAGATCTTGAGAACAAGTGCAAGGCCTAAATGGCTACCACCTTTCTTTGGTCGTATCCTATATGTACCTGCAGCTAGACTATGTCTTCCTGTGTCGCTTTAGGGCTAGCCATTCCAGGCGACACAAATTCTGCCTCCATTGCCAAACAGATACTCTCCAATCTGCAGCACGTCACTAAGATATAGTAGAGCATCAAGGCGAGAGATCTTTATTACGGCTAGTCTGGCACAAAAGAACACTTCACAAAGACTACTCCTCGATTTCTACAGGCCAAATTACGATTGACCATTCATGTCTGTATAAACGTTGATTTGAAGTTGGACAAGCCCAAAATTGATGGGTACGTGGACCGACCTAAACAGCAGATGAATTATCGTTCTAATGCAGATAGTGGATAATTCATCGAAATAAAGCGTCAGTTTTATCCGGATTGATATCAGAATACTTCTTCAAAAGAGGTTCCAAGATCGCTATAACAGGATTATGACTTAGGGACCTCAGCTTACCAAACAGATAGCCACAGAAGTTCAATGAATATTAAATTCGCTATACCAGATGGAAAGTAGCGAATTGAACAGTAGAGCCGATATTTGCTCTATATGAGGCTCATGCAGGACATGGAATTAGAAGAACACACACCAACACAGTGCTTTGTTTCAAGAGCAGAGGCTTTTAGTTCTCGGCAGATATATGTGGAAGGGAAGCGTCAAAGTTTTGTGTCCAGCTTATCGTGGAGGAGTGCGTATATGTTTGCTGGAAACGTGTAGCAAGACCACTCAGAATATCGAACATATCTCCCAGGCTGCATGAGTTCTCTTTAAACAGTTGTTGAATGGGCCCTGTTATGAATGAAAGACCGGGCGTATCAGGTAGGGGCTTATTGTTTCCCACGTCAGGTTGAAAGACCTTGAGACATTTGGCAAGGGTTTGATGAGCAAATGGACTTAGTGTCCGAAGATGCTGTATGTAAGACTTAGCCAGCTGGCCTGAAAATATGCGGGTATATTGTCCTGAACATCTTGGATCACTGACCTTCTCTACCGTTCCGTAGAGAGTTATTTCCTTTGGGTAGGCCCGCATATGCTTCAGAAATAGATCCCCTAGTGCCTTGTGCTGCTGAAGAAACCATTCTACTGATAGTGCTTCATACCCAAGAGCGGCGCGAACAATGTCTTCGAAAGATATCTGTCTAAATTGGAAGTGACTTTCCGCTTCGACTTCCAGGGCGATTCTTTGAGCGCTTGATAATTCTCCTGGTGCAGAGGGAAACCAACGCCACGAGGTCAACTGAGGAGGCGCAGGTATTGATCGAACTAGGATTTTTCTCATTTTCTCGCAATTCGACTGTTCAGAAAGAGAGGGCTCATGCGGCTCTGGCAAGGCAGTGAGGAACGAATTGAGCACACTCGGAGGGCGACTCTCTAGTATGTGCTTTACAAGGTCCATATCGCGAAAGAAACCGAAGCGAAATCCCTGAAGAATGGGCTTTAGGTCATAAGCCCGCAGCGTAACGATTGCATATTCTTCCCACCATCGATCTCGCACAAAGAATTGAGGGACCTCTAACTTTGACAGGAAAATATTGGGAGATGCTTCCATCAAAGTAGGAGCATGACTGGGAAGCACCATACTGGATCACCTCGGGAAACACAGCTGTCGTTTTATCGAGGAATGGGAATGAATACAGGTTTGAAGCCACCTTGAGACATATTGGAGCGGCAACGTCCACACATAAATCCAGGTATCAGCAGTCTAGAAATGACTTGACTCGTCCTGTAGCCCCAACGCACTCGAATGCTGAGAATATGAGAGTGGCGGAGAATTGGGATGACGATTTGGATGATGGGGCCGGAGAAACCAAGGACGGCAACGAAGATGCCCCGAAAGGTCTAGATGATGTCTTGAAGCTGGCCAGGGAAGCAAAGGAGAAAGAGAAGGCAGATAGGAGAAAAGACCGGGCGACACAAGGCATGGGTGAAGGACCTACAGAGCCTGCCGGCAGGCAGGTCAATTCCGCTACTGAAAAAGACGCGGATGATCGTATTCTGTTAGTGTTGAAGGCTTTCAAGGTGCTACAGAACGAGTTCAACGCGAAGTTCAGGGCCATGTGGGCATAGACGGCTTTGGATACATCATTGCTGTATGGGGAATCAGTCTGTCCATGAGAAGTGTGAGAGTAACCAATACCATCTTGTAGAATCCTATTCCGTGAATGCTTCTGTTTATATATAAAAAATATATAACTTATAGACTGCGATAATCCCATGGAAATTATATGAGCGGGAAATGGGCCTTACCTCAAGGCCCATGGACGGGCTTTTTCGCAGTCTAATAATACCTCCCTCGAAATATGAATCAGATAATTCGAATAACACTCAGGGGCGTCATTTTAATGATGAAGGCAAGATACCCATAGTGGTTTCTTGGGTTACGACGCACTCTACTCGGGGGCTATGGGACAGCCTCTTCATTCCGCACCCCTCTCGCGATGCGATAGCTAATGTAATCGCCAGAACCACTCTCTGTAACCAAAAGTACAGTTAGTTTACGGTGGTAGTAGCTGTATTTACCTTAGCAATTCCCACTAGTAAGGCACACAGCGCGTGGCCAATCACCTGATGATAGGGCCAAACTCTCGGCTATAAATAAGAAAATGTCTCCCTCTTAATCTCTCGTACAGTATTCATGTCCTAAGTTTGGATTCCTCTCTCCTTTCCGGCGGCTAGAATATATTCATCCATTTACCAGCTGCCTGTTTTCATTTACTACCACATATCCAACAAAATTCAATAACCTCATCTGACACACATTCAAGAACAGCCCTCCGTTCACTGCTATCTATTTCGCATCTACAATCATGGCGAAACATTCTCTTTCTAAAGGGCGACGCCGCCCGATTGGACCGAGTGTGGGGGCGCAACTTCAGAGAGCATTCCACGTACGAAAGAAACCGAGCTGTGGAAAAGGAAAAGAGGGGAGAGGCCGGATCCTGCTATCTACCCCGTCCATCCAATCACATACGTCCACCTCGCTAGCCTCTTCAGGACTTCTGCCAACTCGGCCAGCGTTTACGTATGCAAGCCTCACACCGAGGAGCTCTCTCTTGCAATCTGCTCCCCTTGTCAACCTCCCTACGGAGCTGAAGTTGCTGATAATCCACCATGTCCATGTTGCCTCTATCTTTGCTTTGTTAGGTGTCAGCCGGGAGTTCTGGGGGCTTCGGGGACTCCTAGAGCCTAAACTGATAGCCGCTGCTCGAAGGGTTTCTAGTTTACTAGTGCCTAAGCCGGCAATACGGAGATTTGAGAAAGACATTCCGGATGACATTAAGAGTTGTGGAAATGGTCAGTGCTTGTCTTTCCGATTAAATGGTGAATCAAACGAACCATACTGGAAGACTGTCAGGCTAGGAAGGGACCCTCAGATTACGATGCCCTGGAATGACGCGCTGGGCAGCACTGCTAAGTCTACTATGTCAGTCACGGTTTGGCCTAGGCTACAGAGTCAGAGTGAGCCAGATTTTCTGAATAAGCCAGAGCTTCGAAACCCAAGGATCTTTGGCGGAGGGCGGCTATGTCTTGGATACGAGAAAATGGGATTTGAGTCTTGGAATCTCGTTGTCCGTAGGATCTCAGACTGGGGGCTTGTGGGAGAGCGATCCCTGTTCCAGGGACGGCCGTTGCTTATCAACAATGACAGTGACTTGGTTGTTCTTCACTCTAAGGACGGAGAGATTCATATTTGGAATCCTTTCCAGGCAGAACCTTGGAAGCTAGAACACGACCACACTATTTTCGAGCGGCCCAAAATCCTACCAAATGGAACCGGCTTCGTCACCACGTCGCGCAAATCAGAAGAGAATATCTTTGAAGACGTCCGAGTCGTCGTCTGTCAATCTGTCTTCTGGCCTGATACTAAGAATTGCCCAGACATAGAGCTCACATCTTTTTGCGTTCCGTTATTATCTTACTTTCCTGGAATTGAGACCAGAGGCTATCATGCCTTATATAACTTTAGCGTCATATGGGAGATTGGCCGGAACGGCATTTTGTTCTATTCATCATTGATTGGAAAAATCGCTATATCATACTCTGGTGAAGAGCTTGGAATGACACTGGACAAGAAAGAGGAGATTATTGGAGAATTTGCGGATGGTACTCGCGTCATCCATCACAAAGATCAAACTGCATATGCCCCTTCCTACGTGCGAATCATGAAGGATGACAAACTTGGCTTCGAACTACGCCATTGCAATGATTTCATTGGCATTCTGCTTTTTCTGGATACTTTTCTTATCATTGTGGACAAGGACATTGAATTTCCACTACCGCATCTCCGATTCAGGGTTTTCACGAGAGATGGAGATATGATATATGGCCTGCGCTTAGGCCCTGAATATTCCACAAGTTACCCACGCATCTTTGAGGAAGGTCATAGTATCGTGTTGTACACAAAGGACTTGTCGAAAGCAACCGTTTGGGATTTTGGGGATATTTTCCAAGCTAAACCGGTGGCTGGATGTGAAGCGAACGAAAAAGCGAATCAAAATTCGGAAGCACGCTACAACCTTAGGAGGAAGATTCGTCAAATTTCTCATCAATGAAGAAAGGCGCTCACTTGAGTTGGCTATTGCTAATGGATTACACCTATGCGTATATATGGTTTCTATTACAACCTGAAAGTGGAATAAGAGCTCTCATTCTATGGGATCACTATATTTCTAGACCCAACTAAGACATGTCGAGCAATAACAAATATTATATTCAATTTCACTGTCGCATTTTGCTGGTTATTTAAGCTTGGGCAAGATCACATAAAAATGGTAGGCCATATGGAGGGAACAATTCGAAGATACTAAGGAGACTTTTTGTCAAGGTTGCTACAGGCTGCCACGTTTGCTATATCGAATCGCCTTAGCCTCTACGATATTTGTAAGATTCTCTGTATGTTAAAAACTAGTTCCTTGAATCTCGGGTAGATTAGGCTTTGCATTTGCCCAGCATGGCAGAATATCGTCGACCATTTTACCCCGAAGTCACTCTCCGTACAGACCACATAGCCGGTATCTTCATCATCCTTCCAAAACATGAAATGACCGGTAACTAAGGCGGTCTTGGAACTGTCCAAACATTCACTGCGTACGCGGAGAATGGCCTCTCGACGCCTAGCATTCTTTTCATGCTCTCCCAGGTGCTGGAAAGCCTCGAGCCCCCCTGGCGTGACAGTGGAGATGACCTCGCTCCCCTCGTATAACGCGAAGACAGAAAGATCAAGAGTTGTCTAAGATGATCCAAGATGTAAGTCTTGTCAGAGCCAGGCAAGCCGTACAACCCAATAACGATTAGCTGCTTGCCATTGGCTTTCTGGTTGTCGGTGCTGTTCTTGTTTTGGTTGGACATATTTAACGGAATGCATCTGAGGAGCAAAGTGTCCGCACTTACTCTTTTTAAGTAATATTCATTTTACTGAACTGCCCAATCTTTCCCTGAACGTAGGCCGAGCTAATGTATCGGACTTCAATTACTATATTAGGTAGTCACGGATAACTAAACCGACAATTGCCATGTCGGGAAGGAACAGGGAAGGGGTCACACCGGGTTACTCCAGCTCAGAGACTTATTATATACTGAAAGGTAATGATCACCGGTCGATTAAGGAGGCGGTGGGTAATTTTCGGCCTTCCTCATCTTTCCAGGGGTGAGAACTCGTCATCAAGGGAGCTGCTGACAAAACTTCAGTCGAATCAAAAGATCCCCGACAGACCATGGGGTCTTTCCTTCAGAGATTGGTACAATGCTGGATACGAAACCTCTCTCTCAAGCGCCAGCTTTGCAGAGCGTGGCATCGTGCACGCATCCGTGAGGAGCTTCAAGAAAGGCGAATGGCAAGTTCTCCTTTACAAAAGCTCAGCGAAACCTCAGATGTCTTGTTTTCCATCACCCGGGCCCAGCATGACGGAGTGTTTGTTCGGAATCTACCTCGCCCTCTATCATTCCGCCACCTTCCCGTCTGTGTATACATGACCGCCAAGTTCTCTCTACGATGGGGCTTTTTTCGAACTGTCGCGTTCCTCAGCCAAGAGAAGAATTATCGAGCTATGTGTGAAGTTATCAATGCTGGGAAAGACCATAAGTTGGCCCAGGTGGCTGTTCGCCACGGGATGAGTCCAAAAGTCTCTCTTCTAAATTCACAATGAGCGCCATGGCAATCAACAAAGTTCAGGAACTGCCCGTGAATCTCATCCAAGAAGCTCTCACTGTTGTTGCAGCCAAGAACCTCGCTCAACGTGGTGTGTCCTGTATCAATGTTTGCTTTCAGGAAATGGGATACAAAGGCTCTCTAAGCAGGGGTCAGTCACCACTTCGTTTAAGGTATATATGACGCTGAAAGAATCTAGATACAATCTCTGATGTTATTACCAAGTACATATAACAATAAGAATCTGAATTCCAATACAAGATTCCAATTTATCTTTTGATCTGATCTTGATTTTTACCTGTATCCCCACTCCTATTTGTTCACCTTGAATATCCTCACTTCTGTTGTATCTCACTTTATTTTCATATGTTCCTTATTCCCAGTTAACCTCCTCAGCCATTGCGCAACAGTTAGGCAGTTGCTGGGAAGGACAATGTCCATATACCAGCCCGTTAACTCGCCCAATCAGTGGCGTGAGAAACGGTAGTCAGGGACTGACAGCACGCGGCATAGAGTATAGCTTGTGCATGCTCCGAAGCAAATGGGAGATAAATTAGATGGTCTATTACAATTAACCCAAATTTTAGACCGATAAGACCTTATTGAGACACCGAACCCTGCCAAAGTTCAGCATCCCCCGAGGGATAGGGAAAACCTAAACTGGAGTCGGCCAACTCCTCCACCCCCCGTGGGATAGGCAGACTGCATCTGTTGGGATGGATTTCTGCCCTATACTGGAAAAAGTGTTATTCCTTCTTGATATTTATACTGTTTGTATATGTCTTAGTTGGGTCTAGAAATATAGTGATCCCATAGAATGAGAGCTCTTATTCCACTTTCAGGTTGTAATAGAAACCATATATACGCATAGGTGTAATCCATTAGCAATAGCCAACTCAAGTGAGCGCCTTTCTTCATTGATGAGAAATTTGACGAATCTTCCTCCTAAGGTTGTAGCGTGCTTCCGAATTTTGATTCGCTTTTTCGTTCGCTTCACATCCAGCCACCGGTTTAGCTTGGAAAATATCCCCAAAATCCCAAACGGTTGCTTTCGACAAGTCCTTTGTGTACAACACGATACTATGACCTTCCTCAAAGATGCGTGGGTAACTTGTGGAATATTCAGGGCCTAAGCGCAGGCCATATATCATATCTCCATCTCTCGTGAAAACCCTGAATCGGAGATGCGGTAGTGGAAATTCAATGTCCTTGTCCACAATGATAAGAAAAGTATCCAGAAAAAGCAGAATGCCAATGAAATCATTGCAATGGCGTAGTTCGAAGCCAAGTTTGTCATCCTTCATGATTCGCACGTAGGAAGGGGCATATGCAGTTTGATCTTTGTGATGGATGACGCGAGTACCATCCGCAAATTCTCCAATAATCTCCTCTTTCTTGTCCAGTGTCATTCCAAGCTCTTCACCAGAGTATGATATAGCGATTTTTCCAATCAATGATGAATAGAACAAAATGCCGTTCCGGCCAATCTCCCATATGACGCTAAAGTTATATAAGGCATGATAGCCTCTGGTCTCAATTCCAGGAAAGTAAGATAATAACGGAACGCAAAAAGATGTGAGCTCTATGTCTGGGCAATTCTTAGTATCAGGCCAGAAGACAGATTGACAGACGACGACTCGGACGTCTTCAAAGATATTCTCTTCTGATTTGCGCGACGTGGTGACGAAGCCGGTTCCATTTGGTAGGATTTTGGGCCGCTCGAAAATAGTGTGGTCGTGTTCTAGCTTCCAAGGTTCTGCCTGGAAAGGATTCCAAATATGAATCTCTCCGTCCTTAGAGTGAAGAACAACCAAGTCACTGTCATTGTTGATAAGCAACGGCCGTCCCTGGAACAGGGATCGCTCTCCCACAAGCCCCCAGTCTGAGATCCTACGGACAACGAGATTCCAAGACTCAAATCCCATTTTCTCGTATCCAAGACATAGCCGCCCTCCGCCAAAGATCCTTGGGTTTCGAAGCTCTGGCTTATTCAGAAAATCTGGCTCACTCTGACTCTGTAGCCTAGGCCAAACCGTGACTGACATAGTAGACTTAGCAGTGCTGCCCAGCGCGTCATTCCAGGGCATCGTAATCTGAGGGTCCCTTCCTAGCCTGACAGTCTTCCAGTATGGTTCGTTTGATTCACCATTTAATCGGAAAGACAAGCACTGACCATTTCCACAACTCTTAATGTCATCCGGAATGTCTTTCTCAAATCTCCGTATTGCCGGCTTAGGCACTAGTAAACTAGAAACCCTTCGAGCAGCGGCTATCAGTTTAGGCTCTAGGAGTCCCCGAAGCCCCCAGAACTCCCGGCTGACACCTAACAAAGCAAAGATAGAGGCAACATGGACATGGTGGATTATCAGCAACTTCAGCTCCGTAGGGAGGTTGACAAGGGGAGCAGATTGCAAGAGAGAGCTCCTCGGTGTGAGGCTTGCATACGTAAACGCTGGCCGAGTTGGCAGAAGTCCTGAAGAGGCTAGCGAGGTGGACGTATGTGATTGGATGGACGGGGTAGATAGCAGGATCCGGCCTCTCCCCTCTTTTCCTTTTCCACAGCTCGGTTTCTTTCGTACGTGGAATGCTCTCTGAAGTTGCGCCCCCACACTCGGTCCAATCGGGCGGCGTCGCCCTTTAGAAAGAGAATGTTTCGCCATGATTGTAGATGCGAAATAGATAGCAGTGAACGGAGGGCTGTTCTTGAATGTGTGTCAGATGAGGTTATTGAATTTTGTTGGATATGTGGTAGTAAATGAAAACAGGCAGCTGGTAAATGGATGAATATATTCTAGCCGCCGGAAAGGAGAGAGGAATCCAAACTTAGGACATGAATACTGTACGAGAGATTAAGAGGGAGACATTTTCTTATTTATAGCCGAGAGTTTGGCCCTATCATCAGGTGATTGGCCACGCGCTGTGTGCCTTACTAGTGGGAATTGCTAAGGTAAATACAGCTACTACCACCGTAAACTAACTGTACTTTTGGTTACAGAGAGTGGTTCTGGCGATTACATTAGCTATCGCATCGCGAGAGGGGTGCGGAATGAAGAGGCTGTCCCATAGCCCCCGAGTAGAGTGCGTCGTAACCCAAGAAACCACTATGGGTATCTTGCCTTCATCATTAAAATGACGCCCCTGAGTGTTATTCGAATTATCTGATTCATATTTCGAGGGAGGTATTATTAGACTGCGAAAAAGCCCGTCCATGGGCCTTGAGGTAAGGCCCATTTCCCGCTCATATAATTTCCATGGGATTATCGCAGTCTATAAGTTATATATTTTTTATATATAAACAGAAGCATTCACGGAATAGGATTCTACAAGATGGTATTGGTTACTCTCACACTTCTCATGGACAGACTGATTCCCCATACAGCAATGATGTATCCAAAGCCGTCTATGCCCACATGGCCCTGAACTTCGCGTTGAACTCGTTCTGTAGCACCTTGAAAGCCTTCAACACTAACAGAATACGATCATCCGCGTCTTTTTCAGTAGCGGAATTGACCTGCCTGCCGGCAGGCTCTGTAGGTCCTTCACCCATGCCTTGTGTCGCCCGGTCTTTTCTCCTATCTGCCTTCTCTTTCTCCTTTGCTTCCCTGGCCAGCTTCAAGACATCATCTAGACCTTTCGGGGCATCTTCGTTGCCGTCCTTGGTTTCTCCGGCCCCATCATCCAAATCGTCATCCCAATTCTCCGCCACTCTCATATTCTCAGCATTCGAGTGCGTTGGGGCTACAGGACGAGTCAAGTCATTTCTAGACTGCTGATACCTGGATTTATGTGTGGACGTTGCCGCTCCAATGTCTTCCTCGTTGACACACGCCTCGCTGAGTGTGCCGTCCATCTCCCTCTCGTAAGCTTCGCCTCCACCCATCACATCCAACATGTCAAGTTCAGTGCCAGGTGCCAGTTTCAGGAAGTTTTCCAAACTCGCCACGATCGTCGCAAGTATGAGCGAGAAATCATTGAGCACGAACCAGATGTCGCCCTTACGGACACCGTTTTCTCGTTCCAATGCACGGACGTTGCCATGCTTGAAGAAGTCGTACAGATAGGCATTGAGAGGTGCACCTTCGTTTGGGTACACGCCCACGTATGGAACGACGGCTTCTTCAAGCCACACTCCGCTGCGAATGGTTTGACAGAGCTCCGAGATTTGGCTCCAATTGTCCCCATGCCCTGACAACGCGTGAAATGGAGAAGTAATGCGTATCCTTCGTGTGGAAGCAGACGGCAGGATACCCAGTTCCGTTGATGACTTGTTGCCTCCACATTTGGTATTCGTGAATGGAAGAATGCGGTCGGGTTCAGTGATGTGCTGCTCAATAAAAGTGGCGACATAGGCCTTGTACACATCGAGCGTCTTCTCGTCGTGCTTCCGTAGAATGCTTACCGCACTCTTCGGCATAGTGGGCAGGACAACAATAGAAGTCGATTTTCTGGTCGTGCCTAGGTCCTGTTCGAGAATGGCCTGACGAACATACTGCCGGCCGAACAAGTGACACATAACAAGCATCAGCGATAGCAGCGTAGTTTGGGGCTTGTGATTAATTTGCGCGCAAAGGCCGTGAAAGTAGCCGGCGTTGAGCAATGCGTGGAATGCAAAACTCGAGTTCTCCGTGTAGTACAAGTGACTGACACATCCTGCAAAATTCAAGGGTGCTCCATTGCGGTCCAGAAGGTCGTTACGTCGAAGGTACTCCAATGAGAATCGCAGGTGGTGGAGTACGGTATCCTTCATTTCGGGCCCGCCCAGATAGATCCGCGGGCAGGACAGAATGGAATTGATCGCTTTGACAGCATAAGGCGCATTCTTCGACTCATGCAAAAGGGTACACAACCGGAGTACCAGACTGGTGGTGATTGGGAAATGGCCGTTTAGATGTGGAAGTCTCGAACTAATCAGACGGCACACCTTGGCATGGGGGATACCTTGGAAAATGACATTTCCGAGCATGTCAAATCCTCGACGACCGGCTCTACCAGCAGCTTGGCGGTAATTAAGCGCGGTCAGAAAGATTGAATCGCCAGAGAAGACCACCGTTTTGCACGGCATGTTGATACCCAGAGCCAGTGTCCCAGTGGCTATGACAACGCGCAGGTACCCCTTGCGGAAGAGCATCTCACAAACTTGACGGTATTTGCGATTCATACCGGCATGGTGGACGCCGATCCCTCGTCGCAGCGCCGTAATCAGCCATTCGGCCACTTCACGTCGGCGAAGCTGCACCGCATATTCCCCAAAGGTGGAAGCGGACAGTTTTTTGACGTTGGCCACATGAAAGCCATCCACGGGGGCATCGGGGTTGAATGACTCAAACTGACTTGCCTCTGCCGAAGCGGCTTCACGCAGGCGTTCTGCGCGAGACATGTCGTTGCCATCCGCGGCACCCTTTTTGGGAGCCTTAGGCATACGCTTCCTAGCGAGCTTTTCTTGATCTCTTTTCCATTCCTCCCACTTTGCCAACTTCCTCTTCCAAACCGGACTCAATGCCTTCCAGCTCTCTTCGGCAGTCACGAGATCGTCGAGGAGTCTTCGGCAGATGCGTTCGCACATGCTCCGGTCGTAGTTGAAGAATAACGCAGGCAGTGCGTTCTGATCGTGCAATGAGCAAACCAGGGGAAGTGTGGTGCTGAGAAGATTGTCGAAATCAATTGAAACTGGTGCGCCCACAGTACGTGGTTCCTTGGAAAATGTGACTAGTTTGGGCTTTACACATTCTGTGGATTCCGTCAATTCATTTAAGACCAGGTTCAACGGCGACGCATTGTTTATGATCCATTCTGTCAGCAGGGCCTTGAGTTTTGTTTCCCACCGCACCACGTCTGCCTTGTGAACAATCTTAGGGAGGCAACGAGTTGGATCCAGCGATCTGTCCACAGGGAACTCTGGGGTCTCGTGTTTTTTCATAGCCTTCCAAAGCATCAGACAATCCCGCGATTCAAAACTCAGGTCGTCTGGCATGCCTCTTGAGCGGTCCACAAGACTGGCAACTGGGTGAATGAAAGCCAAGCCAGGAACGTCTTCGAGACCCAGAGGAGACATTCGCTGAGGTTCCGACAACCCACTGAAGGAGAACTGCTCCGGCGGATGATAGATATACTTGCGGAGGTCCGAGTATCGTTGCCGATGCTCGATCATCTTCAAGTCGACACCATTTGCCTTCTGCGTTAGGCTTAACCAGTTGAAGAACTCTTGAGGATTGCCCACGGTAGCAGAAAGGGCGATGATGGGACTCGGTGACATCAGTAGAAGCTGCTCCCACACAACGCCGTCCTCCGCCTGTCCGATGCAGTGGATCTCGTCAAAGATGATTCTCCTCACTCTGGATGACCAAGAATTGGCATTGGCCGGCGCAAGTAGCATGATCTGGAGAATGTGCGGCACCGTAATGAGCACCTGGCAACCAACAGGGCTGTTGATGCGGTAATCGCGCGTATGTATAGCCCACACTGACCTGCCGCTGAACTTACTCGGATACGACTTTGAGAATCGCGCTTGAACCTCTGCGGCGATCTGGTTTACCAGGGCCTTTGTCGGTGCCACATAGACAAGAACCCCGTCGTTATCGTCTTCCAGAATCTGTTTCATGGCGTAGAAGCTTTACGTGGATGTTAGTCTCTCATGGTGTTCGTCGTGTTCGCTAGCAACACGACATACCAGGTCGATCAAGGAGATTTTGAGAGCGACTTACGAGATAAAGGTCTTTCCCGCGCTAGTCGGGGCAACCACAAACACGCTCTTCTTGGCGTCAATCTGGTCCAAGACATCTCGTTGCCACTTGTCAGGTTCAAAATCATGGATACGACTGTCCGGCGCCGAGTCCATATCGCGATCCATGAAGGGGCCAGTGTATGTCAGCTGGAATTCAAGCGCTGACAGTGAGGTGCTGAGATCCGATTTCTTCAACGTAAGCCCGGAAAACTCAAACGACAACTTCTGGTCGCTCCGGACTTCGAGATCCACATCCGGCAAACCAAGTGTGTTGGTGACACCAGTTACACAGGTTGCTACGTCTACCGTGATTGAATTTTGCAGTTTCGATATCTGCCAGACGACTTCCCAGATCAACGCTAGGATCGTTATCCGGAAATGCCTTTCCTGATTCTCGGTATTGGTCAAGAGTATACGAACTAACGTGTCGAGTTGATAGGTTAGAATTTCGGCTTCCACGGGACCTCGTTTGTCTTTTGGCATGCTGGAAAAATACTGCTTTGCCTTGAAATAGCGACTGACGAGGTCATTTTCTTTGTCGAACCCCTCCCTCTTAAGTTTCCACTGCTTGATTTGTTTTTCGTGCGCCTCCCTACGCTTCTCTTGAGTGAAAGAGGCAGCTGCATCCCGCACCGATGGCTTCGTTAACTTTCGGGCCTTTTTCTTTGTCGACTGATGTGGTAATGTTGTGCTGTCGCTGGGGTTTTCAATGTTCGTGCTCACTTTCTCTCGGTCTTTAGCGGAGGCCACGAACACACTTTGTGGTTCAAGTATGCCACCAGTCACGTTTGTCAAGCTAGCAGCATAATCCCTCATTTCAGTCATAAAGAAGTCGTTCCGTCGCAGAGCAAGGACTTTTTGCCGTGCAGTCATCGTAAAGCCAGCTTTGTGATCGACGGGTCGCCGAGAGTTGTGCCAATGGCTTAGCTCCTCGAATGTCTTTGATGCCCTCGCGGCGGCAAACTCTCCGGCGGACTCGTCAATGGACAGGTAGACAGGCTGCAAATGAGCGTCAAACACAGGATTGCTGAATGGTAAAACGCGAATATCTACGTTGGACCTCTCCTCGTTGCAACTCTCTTGCAACTCTTTGGCCTGGCGAGCTTTCCTCCCTGCTTTTGACTTGTCCGCAAATCCTCCTTTTCCTTTTTGAGGCCCCTCATCCGGGACAGGAGCCTGGGAGATTACGCTAAAGTCGCAGAGATCCTTGAGTGCCAGGCATAGATCCTCAAAGTCAGACCAGACAGATGAGCCATTCTTGTGGAATTCATCCCAATGATCTATCTGTGACCACAAGACCAGGAATAATCTTCCGTCGAGAAGATCGTATAAATCGCATGCGGCTTTGATAGATGTCATTGCGTCTTGCCAGACTAGTGATGTCAATATGCCAAGGCAACTTTCTGCGAAGTGGTCCAAGAAGTTCTGTCCTCCAACGGTAGGCACTTGGGGAATTGAGCGGTCTGAAAGTCTACAATCACGCAGAAATATCATGTGCAAAAGCATCGCGCGTGCTGCTCCGAGCTCATGCTCGGCGATGCTGCCCGACTCAACCATCGTGATAAGGGTGGCAACGATCAAATACTCCCGCTGTGTGAATTCGGGGCGGATGGTCCCCAGAGTGGCCAAAACACTTTTCAGGAGCTGTGAATCAATCGTTCCTGTTTCCGACAGTTCCCCGGAATTTTCATAAATAGTGCCTGGAATATCCGCAAACATGCGAAAACCATACTTCTGCTCCTGAAACGGCGCTGCGCCGGGATCGACGACACACAGTTGCGTGTCATCCTCTTGTCCTGGTAAATAATCATGACCAAAGCCGTCTTTGTCACTGTTGCCAGGGTGTTCAGTCTCTACGGCATCATCGTCCTGCTGTGTGTTCAAACGACACTTTTCAGTGTTTCTTGTAGGTCGTTCCAGGATCATTGAGATGACCTGCTAAGTGTCAGCCTAGGAGACATTCATTGTCACCAACACAAAGATAACATCACCTTGGTGTCCTTGAATCTCAAGCTGTTGATCAGTGCGATATTGTACCCGTGGTTCATGAACCAGTAGATCATTCTCCGCAGGTCAATCCGGTACTGTACCTTGGGGAGAGAGTTATCGACGGCTTGCTCCTTATGTGTTTTCTCAGCATCCGCCGCATCAGACTCTTCGAATGGGGTATCTGACTCGTTGTAGCTATCCACCGTAACCTTGGTGGCCGAAGATTCAGGAAATGCTCCGTCATGACACATGAAGAAGTACGCTCCAGACCTTAGCAAATATGAGCGGAAATCAGAGGACTTGTAGCTGGAGAATTCCTTGATCCACTCTACAGAGCCCGCGGCAGGAATATTCTCTCTGAGATGCCGGATAATCGCCTCTCGGGCAAGGAGGTACCTGTAGCGAAGTCTGCCCAATACCCCAACAGGCACGCATAGGTGGGTATTTTCTGCAAAAAACACAATATGAAAGACGCAGTTCCGTTTTTGGAGCTTGTGCAGAAGAGTCTCCACAAAATATGTCGCGTGCAAGTCTTGGAAACCGGGCGAAAAGTCGAGTTTCCTATCAGAAAACGACTGCAGCAGGAGAGAGTCGCCATCGATGATGAAGAGCTCATCACCCGCGTAATCCCCGACGAGGTCAACCGTGCGCGAATACAGTGTATTGTACCTATGGAGAAGTTAGACATAGGGCATGGTCTGACGTCAAGAACGAGTACACGGCACTGCTGCTTTCCCGAGTGTGACCTACCATACCAGTAGCTTTTGAGGCGTCATTACGTCGCGATGCCATACAGGACGCATGAAGAAGCACAGCCAACAAGATCTAGCCTGATGACACGATGCTAAAGATGATAAGGCTTTGGGGAGAGGGAGGCGAGGAGAGAGGTAATTATGTGAATAGCACACACCAGAAATGGTAGCTCTAGGTGATTGAGAATTTATGGAGTCTGCGTGTTACGGGGCGCCGCGCCCTCGCAAAAGAGTAAGACAAGGCTAACGGGGTCGTGCAGGCCTTCTTTTGCTTATAAGTTGTACTGAACGGTAATATTTTATGAATGCAAAGCAGCATCCACCATGAGCGGATTTTCCTTTCGTTATATAACTCTAAACCATAGCCATATAAGCCTTGAATGTTTTCACCTGGAGTATTGCGACCACGTCGATATATCAGCCCCGACCTGCAGTCTCGCACGACGTGTTCAAAGTTGGGGCTGCAGCGCCTAGATACCAGAACCCTGTCGAATTAAATCGCTCCGCGTGTGGCTACAATTCAGGCGCTTCATGCGGGCACCAGGTCGACCAATCACTTGAGCCGGTGTGACGTGTTATTGTGACGCCACGCGCTACTACAGAGGGCTTCATTGGTGCGCCGGGTAGCTAGACCAGTCATATGTGCAAGCCGTGGAAAGCACGAAAGAACATGGATTTATAAAAGATGTCTAGAGTCATAGTTGTGAACGGTTACAGAACTGCAGGAGAACAAATATACCAGATTCGAGGTGCGTAATCTCAAGCATGCGAGCACGTACCTAATAACATTTAGGTATTGTAGTGGGAAATCACGAGATTTGTATGATTACTGCCTCAGGCAGTGATATCCTCGAGGAAGGGTTATGGGCAATCTACGACTGTAGAGAAAGATAGACAGTTACAAGAATGCCACTCATTTCCTGATTCAAGATTTATGATCATTATGCTCCTTGATATAGCATCTGATTATGCCTGATAGGCATCATCTGTCTAGAGCTCACAGACCTGACTTGTTGTTGGGTTTTCTTGCCACCATTTGTCGACCTGTCTGTTTTGACCAGACTGCCATCGAGCATATCCCATTTCAAATTGGCGTCCCCGGGAAGGCTCACGATCGCAAGGTGTCTGACAACTGGCAGAGCCTACAGCAGCAAAAGTGGCGATAGCATTTGACCCTGAGAAGCAAGCGTGGAAGAGAGACAGGTCACATCTGTTCCTTGTGTTATCAGCTGAGTTGTTGGCAAAGATAGCCTGAGTTGGGCTTGCTAACATGCAGGAAACACGGGAACTCACCCAGTTATATCGCGATCTGATATCCAGCTCGTGCATTGGCAGTGCGGATTCGCTGCTGATGTTGCTACAGGCGAGACCGGCAGCGCTGCGTATGATGGCAGAGAAGAGATTTCCAGGCATGAGCTGGCTATGGCGTATGACCATGCAGCAAATGCTGACTCACGCTATCTTGAGTTATAAGTTAAAAGAAAGGAAGGAAGAATGCTTAAGAAGAGGAAGAGACAAAAAAGCCCTTGACCAGCTTTCTCGACAACCCCCGCCAGCGTTGATTTCAGCCGAAAAACAGTCTCCGCTTTCACCAACAATGGACTTCGCCGAGGAGCGTGACCGCGGAAGGAGTCAAAATGAAGGACTGGCATCGTTCTCTGAGTATAGGGAGCCTGCCAGGGAGAGATCTGAGTCAGTTAGAACGACAGGCAGGCGTAGCGCTCTGCACCCTGAGCCGACAGTGCCAGTTCAGTCAGGTATAGCCGTTGCGCCAGTTGCGCAACTCGCGTCTATCCAGCAGCAGCAGATGCCGTATTTCTCCCCTCTGCTTACTCCAGGGACGTTAGGAGCGCCGTACTTTGACGGGTCTGACGCTACCCTGTTCCTGGAGAAGTTACAGGAGACATGTCGTCGCTGTGGGCTGCGCTCAGAGACTGAGATGCTAGAGATCTTGTAACCCCGTTCTACGTAGAAATCTACTAATCCTTTTTAATATACAGATATATTAGCTTATATTGTTGAAGATATCTTTTATCCGATCGGAAAGTACCACTATTCAACATAGATAGAGGCGCGCCGGGGGGGGGGGGGGGGGGGGGGGGGGTTTGCCTGGGATTACACTTGCCTTGCTCCGCTGTGGATCTCAAGAGTATCTCGCAACCGTACCGTTGCTATGCTAAGCCTACTCCTATTGTCAATTAGTATGCACTACAGATAGTAATTTTTGGATACCTGATTCCCGCCAGGTATTATAGGAAAGAGAAACAGAGGAATAAAGCAGGATAAAATGACTTTGAAAATCTGGTGAACCTGAGCTTTCTAATAACTGAAATGTGCTGAGATCTTATTCGCATGGGCATCGGGAAGTTGTTGTCATCCCTGCTGTAGTCTCACAACGACGCAGGCAAGAGAGTGGACACGAACGAGCGAACTTTAGCCTTAAACTGTACCCAGTCGGAAAACTTATAATGCGTACCTCGCTCAGCAGAAATGGTCTCAAACCCGACTGCTTGGCGCTGGCAACGACGGTACGCCGTGAGGCTATCCAGGAAAGCTGCCATTGTAGCGTCGACTTCTCTTGCAGCCACGAGGAGGTTTTCCTGGCACTCCCGGTCACGCTGATCCTTCCATTCCGCACAAGGCCGGTAGAGTTTTTCTATTATGCTGTGGAGAGTTTCATCAAGACCTGAACGTATCTCTGGATCTGCCGTGCGTTCAATATACATAGGATGAAACCCTTGAACAACATGAATGATGCGCTCATTCACAGACAGTTGGGCCACTTCTCGACGTCGTGCACCGCCAACCGAGGAGCAAAGGAGCGCAGCAACTGGGTGTTCCACAATACCCCAACGAGGGTGGGATGTTTTGGTCGCACACTGACACGAGACCATCACTGGTGGTTTAAACCGGTGGAGAAAACTGACAGTCAGGTTGAACACCTCGCTGGATAATCGCAACTTCTCAGCATCTTCCATAGAATTCATATCCCGATCCGTCAACAGAGGAAACGTATCAATGATGATGATATCCCTCAAAGTGAAGCCCCAGGGCTCCAAAGCTTGTTCAAGCCATGTCAATGTGGGTGAGTTCTCAATCATCTCGTTCCACGGAAGATAGTCCCAGCCACTTGGGTTGAGCAGCAGAATAGCCGGAAAGTTCAATATCCCGCAAAGCAAAGTAATGTAGTTTGATAGGCCTTCTCCATTCCAGCCTTCCCTTTCCCAGATGTGTCTTGCCTCCTGGAAAAATGGGTCATCTGGTGATATTCGGGATATACGGCGGCCGCTTTGTATGTTTGGGAGAAGAAGTCATGTATGAGAGTTTCCAGTTGGTTCCGCTCGCCTCTGAGCGAAAGGGCGGAAAGTGCCTCCAAGGTGACATCGAGTGACTGTGTCGAGGGATTCATCTTAGGTCTTAGAGGAATGGCAAGTCTGATTTTGAAACAGAAAAGGGGATTGGGAGGAAGGTAGAAGGTAGAAGAGCAGGCGTATTTGATAAAGAAAAGACATATATTCCTATAGCTATATAATTAGGCTTCCGCACTAAAGACGGCCTGATATAAAATATCGATCGATAAGAACTTAGTGGTTTCAGAGCTGTTGGAATCTCTAAAAGGATGTTTGCAGCCTTGTCCATTTCTTTGTCCAAACAAGTTCGGCAAGATTGTCGAAGTTGAGAGCGGTAATGAATAGATCTCTCGAGTGGTTAGAGCTGTTCCCGGGGGTTCGGAAGGCCCTCAGCATTGCAGGCGATGGCCGATTGAAACCGATATGGGGCAGTGGTCTAGTTGGGGGCTAACGTGGAGCACCATTCCAGATTGGAATGTCGCTAAGCCATTATGGGCTCTGAGCACGAGTGTTCAGAGCTAAACCTACTATCGTAAGAGTTGCACCTGGTTTTTCACGAACTGTCCCTTGTCGACAGAGGGACTTCCTTCTCGTATGCGCCGCTAGGGATGTTATGAATTTTCATCATCCGCAATTCACTTTCGGTATCTGGTAATGAATAAGATATATATAGCCATCTGAGGATATTCTTTTCTGGTCTCTCCACCAATCGCATAATGAGTTCTGATCTTCCATATCCCTTGCATCAATCCGAGCATTATATCGATGAGAAATTCCGCTTTCGATAGCTAAATTTAGCAGCAGTGAATGGAATGGCCTAGCACCCTTTTCAGCCTACTGTCATATTCCCTGGTGGTGGACCTCTGATGGCCTTGCTGCCACGCTCTGCGAGTGAGGATGGAGGGACTTTAGTTGGGTGTGAGTGGGAACTGGGAACGTGATTGCCAGACTTACATTTTGGGTCGGAAGAATGCGATAACGTAACAGACCCCCAAGCTGCGCAGACCCCCAAGCTGCGCAGACCCCCAAGCTGCGCAGACCCCCAAGCTGCGCAGACCCCCAAGCTGCGCACCCCACCCAACTTGATTATTTTAAATGGATTTTTCTCAACCAAAACGCCTTTAAATTGAATAAACTAAATGCGAGATGTAGTGGGACATGACCTCCTATTATGACCCTGAATTCCACATTCGGAACATCTTGGTACTGCCCTCGTACGTGACTGAGAAAGGGCTAAACCCTGATTTACCTCATTAGATCCTTGCGGTAAATCAGGTTGTACTAGCTGCGTTATCAAGGTTGATACCTCTCTAACTGTAAGGCCTTCCTCGCGATGTATTTGCCTTGTAGATCTAGCATTTTTGCGCCTTTTTTTCTCGTTTTCAGCGCGTAAATCGCTTACTTCTTTCTCGAGAATAGCAGCTGAATGCATTGTGATTTGACAGGCTTTTAAAACCTGATTTATCGCTGAATTTAGTGGACTTGGTGGGATTTTTGAACGCTGTTTTAACAAGGCTTTTATCGAGGAAGCTTGTTTTTGTAATTGAATATAATTGGAGGGCGTTTTTGGCTCCCACTCGCTACCCCGGCTGGAGGGGGGGGGGTCCGGCGTACGCGTGAGAATATTGACTTTCGAGAGTACCCGAGATGGGTTAAAAGGGAGTAAACCGGCGGCGGAGAAGCTATTTTTGATATTCTCCGATTTAAAGGCCTCAATTCGCGCGGCTTGGTAGGCATCGAGGAAATCAAGTTTATCAATATGACTGATTTTAGCCCGCATTTTCGATGCGATAATCCGACCGTACGCGGCTTTTAACACCGCAAAACAGCCAATATCGAGAGGCTGTAAAAGATGAGATGAATGCGGAGGCATACAAATTGCGATGATTTTGTTCTCCTCGCAAGTTTTGTCGAATTGTGGTGTCAAATGACTGCCGTGGCCATCAAGTATCAAGAGTCTATACTTCCCCTTCGTACGAGACGTAGTAGACGGAGTGAAGAGCTTTTCAAGCCATCGAAGTCCAATTTGATCAGAGGTCCATCCATTAGAACTTATCTCGATCCTCCAGTCATTTGGAAGGTTATCGAACCAAGATTCGATAAAAACTTTGCCTTTAAAAATCACGCATGGAGGAAGCGCCCACCCCGTTGAACTTATACACTCGATTGTAGTTACCCACGCGCGATTTCCAGGCTGTAAAAGTGATCGCCGACCGTATAATTCCTTTCTCGTTATAACCTTCATAGTCGAGATTATACAAATTGCAAATCCCGTCTCGTCAAAGTTATAGATATCGTCAAAATCAATCCCGTGTGTTAGGATTTTTTTTTGAACGAGAGAAAACCACTCAGATAATAGCTTCGGGTCCTCGCATTTAGCTCGCCGATAATCGTAGCGTCTCGAGAATCGAGTAGATAGTAGGGGATGCCGTTTAACGAATTTTTTAACCCAATTTTCGCCGACCGTAGGTGGGGGTATAGATCCACGCGCCGCCAGTAGTATATCTGCCATTTCTCGTACAGTTGACGGGCGGGGAGCTGCTCCACGAGAATCCATAGAGATAATCCATTTTTGAAGCGATTCCTCTTCAATTTCAGTCAATTTCAGCTTTTCTGCGCGAGATATCGCGTGATTTTGAACCCCATGGAGGCGGTTACGGAGGGTCGATTCAGGTACGTCAAAACAGCGCGCTGCTCCACGTACAGAGGAAAAATCTTGCTTTCGAATAGCTTCAATTGCTAATGAAAGCCTACCCTCTTGCTCAGTACGATTTTGAGAGGATTGAGTACGAATTGGTGACATGGTGGGTGGTTAAAGAGAAGAGGTTTGATTAATTGACGCGTTTTTGGGTGGGGTGCGCAGCTTGGGGGTCTGCGCAGCTTGGGGGTCTGCGCAGCTTGGGGGTCTGTTACGTTATACACCGAAATTTTACGATTCCGGTCATTTCGGTGCAGATTGACGTTTATAGACCGCTGTTATGTGCTTGGCAGATAAGCAACGGTTAGGCCCTTGGATCCTCAGCTCTTCTATAAAGCATGGAATTTATGGCTCGCGCAATCCAAAGAAGTAAGATACCGGTAAGAAATTCTTACAGCTAATATGGTGAGTTCGCAACTGGTCGACATGACGTTCAGGGTCCTCTGGTGCTGTACAGACCAATGGCTGTTTTGCCCAAGATGCACTACCAATAGTATTTGAAATTCACCGGCTACCTCTCATGGTATGGCTATTGGAATGTTCTCGTGGAGGAGGAGTATTGTTGATCTGTGTACTGTGGCGCCCGTTATCGTCTTCCACATTGCAAACAGAGAGATGCTCATTAAACCCTAATCACATGATTACATCGTATACTACTACACAACTGGGTTCGGTGTAAGAAATGTATTGAGATTCTAGTGGTGATGTCATCGAATAATTTGGTCCTACTTAGAGTGAAACAATGTCATATTGATCGCCTTCGTACACCATTAGTGGCCTCTGTGGATGCTGACTATACAGTAGAGTATGATCCTAACCATACGCGAAACTGAACGGTCTTGGATTTTCAGCGTACCTTTTTGCTGGCTTGTAAAACACATCTGATGAACCTCTTAACCGCCAGAGACCATATGTCTGTCTCATTATATTTGTTCAATTCGTTTTCTAGATCTTCCAACGGGAGATAGAGCAGTCACTTCATGGGCACATATGTGCGAGTGCTTTTGAACCTACTTTACTCTTAATCGTCGTCGTGGTCAAATATGACGAGTACTACTTTGATGAGTCCACCCGAGACTCTGAAGTAGAACCACGGCGATATTGTATAGATTTCTATCAACTACCAGCGATGACACAGAGTAAAATAGAAAAAATAGAGAAAGGGAATTCTCCTTTGTTCAATTTTATATCAAAACAAACTTCCTTCAACGACTCAAGGTAATGTGGATCATGGAGCTCAAGATTGTATCTCTTCAGCGTCGCGGTAACAGTTTTTTCTTACCAAGCTCAATCTGAAGTTTCATCGTATAATTGACGGCAACGAGCTTCTTCATAATCGAAATAGTGATATCTGGTGAGTTTTGCATGACTTCCATGCTTTCATCATGGGTGAGAAATCGGTGGGCATCTGATGAAATTGACTTGGTTATGGCGTCGCGAAGCAGAATCTCTTGTGGTGGAATGGTGGTCCAGATTTTTTCAATAATCAAGGGCGACTTGCTCGCATTTTCGTCGATCCACTTAATAACTCGAGATCTTGCAAGGTCTTTCAGAGGCGAAATGTCGAATTTGTCAGCCGCTATAAACACCCCAAGGTTGTTCCATATAGCTGCATTAGGCTCTATATCATGATCCAGAGCACAGTTTCGACTTTTGACTTGCGCTTCGCTGGTGTCTTGGTAGTCGTGATGGTAAAGAAAAGAGATAACACGTTGAATGGTTGCTAAATCATCGTCTGGAAGGTCAACTTCTGATAGAGACGCTTCCTTGTAATGAAATAAGCCAGATGCAGCAGCCGCGGTAAGAGTCATCTCACCTTAAACCCCCCTTTCAATGCAGCGTCAAAAAAAGATGACTGAGAACAGACGATTGCTCGATGAACTTGGAATATTTTTCCCTCGCATGATATCGTCATGTCTGAGTATTTACCTGAATCTAAAAGGCTTTGCAGCATCGCCTGAGGACTTGAGAATCCCATGATTGATGTAAATCAGTGAAGAACAGATTTAGCACAAGTTAAATTATGTGGTTGCATTTCCAGTGCCCGTTCGGAGATCTTTGAAATACTCGACGTCACCATTCATACTGTCGCGGGCGTAAAAAAGTAAGATTACAGAGGTATTTTTACAATTTCAGGTATTGTGTGTTCGAATTTTACCATTCCAAATGGTAACAAGATATGACCGTATCCGGTTTCCTAAGATTATATAATTAGGGTTTCAAAGCGCGTCTCTCTGGTTACAACATGGAAGGCTATGTCGGGCGCTACGGTAACTAGCATCTGTTAACACGTATCTCTCCGTGGCCCACAATTGCAGTCCCTTCCATGTCTTACTAAATAAACAAGGAAATGACAGATATTTCATAGCTGGTATGTAACTGGAGCTGAATTGAATGACATGAGTCCCGGTTTAGAATTCTGCGTATGATAAGGGGGCGTTGAGCTCCAATCCTGGATTTAGTCACGTCACACATTCTGAGGGCATGGGTATCGTCCATTGCGGTAAATAAACTGTAATAAAGCAACTGCGCTTAGATTAAGTTTAAAAGCAAAAATAGATTCTATACTTGAGGGCGGAGGAATGGTGCGGTCGCTGTGAAAAAGACGTTTGATGGTGACGAATCACATCTGCTCATCTTGTATTCCACCGTCAACCAGTGTTATAAATTCTGGCATACCTGCTATCAAAACCCCTGGCCAGGCATCGATATTACCATGCCCAACTACGAGCTCCAAAGTCTGCGCGACTCTGCAGTTATCACCATCATCGACATTTTCGGATTGACCTACTTTTCTCTCTTTATCCTCCAATTTCTTCTGTTCCATTTCCCATCCTCTCCAAATGCAATCATCAGTTCGCTCTCTGTCATCTCCTTTAGCGGCGGTGGTCTATTGTGGTATATATCAAGCCTAATTTACCGAACAATATCTGCGTTCCAGGGAGACGGTGCAGCCCACTGGCAATATCGTTGAATGATGACTGAAAGTTTCAACCCCCTAAGTGAACAACTTGTGGGACCCGTATATTTTCATTTTCGAGTATTTGTGGTCTAAAGTCTACCTCTTTTTTCCCCCAAACCTCTCGTGCTGCAGATACCTTTGGTCCCACCGTTACGTCACGTACCATATCAACGCGCCACCACATTTTATTTTGATACCCTTACTTGATCGCTCCATGTTTCCTCAAAAATCGACATTTGATATTACGAATTCATTCTTTGGGGCAATTTGTCTTAGACACTGTGGCCTGTACCATGGGAGGTGGAGTATCAATTCCAATTGCGCAGGGATGAGACCGTAGCCTCCTTGCCGTACAATTGGGAAAGAATGTGTACGTTTAACCCCAATTGATTCTAATCTAGCCTTTATTGACATGGTTTTTCATTCGTTAGTACTACAACCCAAGAAAGGTCACCCTCATGTATGCACGGGACGACAGAATGGACCAGAGACAATCAATGATTATCTTTACCATCCATTTTTCGACCTTCTCCGACGCTTCAGACACCTTCGCGTTCTGTGCTTTTTCCCAGCTACTGCATTTGTCAGAATATCACTTGATAAACCGTTTGTCAAATCTCGCAAATTATGTAACCTATAGAATGATTGATATCCAGAAAATTGAGAGCGGTCGCTGTCTATATGATACATCAACTACAGTTACATTGTGTGTTGGCTATCACTTAGTTATAAAATAGCGGGCAAGTCAGCATCAGTAAAGCTGGAAGACTTGCGTGGTATTCCGAGTCGAACGCGAATGCTTTGTAGAGTTGCGGTGAGACAAAAATACAATCAGTACAAGTGCACATGCGAATCAGTCTCAATGATTTCTACGCCCCAGAAACTTTGACAAATCGACAATACATGAAGGCTGTTTCTTATACAGGAATTATCATGATTTGTTCGATCCTGCCCTATTATGTCTTTGTCATATCGCTTCACTTTGTCTCCAGGAAGCACAGCGGCTCCCCTATTGGGAAACCATCAGGATGGTTTGCTCTGAGACACAAAGTAAATAGGCTGATTTGGCTAGGCTCAGGCGTTAGCGGCAATGGAGTTTGTACTGGTAAAACAGGGCTGCATAATCTGGGCTGTTTGTTTCCTGATTTAGAGTCAGTTGTAACGATTTCCTGAGGCAGTTCATTTGGTCTTCAACGCTCAAGAAGAATACAGTGCCAAAAGTGTTCGACTGCATAGAGGGCAATAATTTACGGTGCAATAATGGAATTTGTCAAGCCCGCTCCATTTCACGCTCAGCAGTACTTTCTTATTCCAGCAAATATCGGTAGAGACATGATCTGATTCACCTTTTACCAGCTATTTCTGAGCGGATCTTGGTAGATAAATCCGGAGCTGTTTTACACTATTCTTATCGACAGAAAAAAATATGCCATTGAAGTGACATGTACAACAATTGCGAGTTAATCTTTACCAATGTTTGTTAGCTTGGCGCATAAGTTGGTGTGTTGTTCCTGTACAATTGTCTGCCTTGCTTGGTGGCCTCCACTTCTGATTCGTCAAATGCACACATGCTTAGGGACTTCTCATTCTCACGCCGCGTATGAAACATATTTTGAGCCTGCTTTTTGGTACAAGGCTTTGTGTACTGTACTGAATGTGACGGCTTTTGTCCGACGCGACACTGGGTCGCTTAGGTGATTACCTACGTAAGCCTTTTATCTTTCAAATCTCCAACTCACCGTAAGTTATTACTGGAGTGAGTACATTTATCATCGGTGCCAGTCAGCTAAACAGGTAAGCTGGCCTCCATCTCGGTCCGTATCAAGATTATCTCATTAAAGTGCTAATATCTGTCTTTTGGCTGAGATGATTGGCATCATGAATTCGCCTTCCTGGTTTACTTGCAAAATGATTGTATACGTTCTTTGGGTCCTCGTTTTCAGGTTAGCACCACGACTATCAATTCGGCTGGTTGGGGAACAATATGGAAATTAGACTGCCACGCATGATTAGGTATCAAAACTGCAGCATATTTTAGCAAAATACACATTCTTGGACAAAACACATACAGCGCATGCAGATCAATACGCTTTATATCCAACCTAGCCCCCTCGTATATATGATATTCGGATTACTTTTGTTCGACTGCAGCCTATTACCCCAAACTTACGAAATAATCTTCAACCTTTCGCTCAAACTGTTAACGCTACGCTCATATTACACGGCAAGCTGACTTCTAAGAAAAGGCATGGAAACTACGACGATGGTTCTCGAACCTTCTATCTTAGACCTCACGTTCAATCATGTCGCTTTCCCCCCAAATCTACCTGGTCAGAGCGATGATAGCAAAACCGACGATGTCCAAAAATCCTTTGTGACACGAATGCTACACGCAGTTGCTGAAATCAGCGGGGACGATGACGATGACCCTCCAGTCTGGCTTAGTACGGAGAATATTTTGAAAACGTGCTTGCTGGTGAATCAGGGCGGATTTGTCAACAAGAAGTTGTTACTTGGAGTGTTACAAGGACTTGGTCCTGGTGATGCCAGCATGGTCTTTGTGGGCCAACAGAACGCATGCATGTTTATACGGAAGCCGATGTGAGCCCCCGCAATATGTTTCTTCTTCTATCTCTGTATGCAGGCCCTCAAAGATGGGATTATTGATTGACTTTGCGTTTCTTTTCCAGGGATGAGCACGGTGCAGTTGTGTTTGAAGCTTTCGAGACGTCACCAGCAGCCGGTCCAACCCTTGCGGCTAAGGGTGCTCTCCAATGGGATTTTCCAGGCATGGCAGTGGCTTTTCCAGCAAGCGAGTTCGAGTCAGTAACTTTCCAAGATAATCTGACGGCTTTGTTGGAACAGGCCAGTCTTGAACCGATAGATGAGTTTGCTGCCAAAACCCGCAAAGCAGGCGTTGATTTGGCCGAAGCCCGAGATACAGCGGATCCGGCCATCATTACACGGTTTCTGATGACCTTGTTGGACGCGAAAGGTGGCAAAATAAACGTACCCGTGCTGAAAAAGCGTGTGAGGGATGATGTATACTGGGATAATGGAGAATTGCCATGGCGACGAAGCCCGTTTTGGCTTGCTCTCCGTGTATGTGTCCAAAGGCTGTTGTTGTTACGGTTCGGTGCGCAGCATGGTCGTTTCCTTTACAAAACCCTCATGTGCGCTCTTATGGCACAACTCTTAGAGGAATGCCTCGGGAATATGAGCCCAGAGAGCTGTAATTTCTTGAAGACGAAGCTTTGTCGCCGTCTTGCAAAATTAGAGGCTGAGAAGCAACGCTGTTCCACAACAGCTTACAACACGTTCTTAACATCAGTAACAGCGGTCGAAACTCGCTGCCGCGAACTGATATCCTTGGCTAATAATTTGTTCGAGACAAATTGGCGCACGTTCAAGGCGGATATTCAAAGGAAGATACCGCACCTACCTTTGTCTGCCCAGGAGAAGGACCTACATTTCAGCCTGCCGAACAGTGCCCCATACCTCCAACAAATTCTTAGTGAATGTCCTGTACAGAGTATTCACGCTCTCAATCAAGAAACATGTGACTCAGAGCGTGGTGGGACTGCAACGGAGGCATATGAGGCCATGGTATCTCGGTATTCTTCGCTTACAGAGACCGAATCAACGATCATGTCCGAAATACGCGAGATGCCAACAATCAACGACCGCTCTAGGTTTACTTGCGTCAACCTAGCAAGACAAATTGACGACTATCTGATTTCTGCTGGGCCTTGCTATCACCGCGACCCAGAGCAGATGAGCGTGTTCATACTGACTTTATTTCAATTGTGGATGCAAATGGACCTATATGCAACCACAACGTACCCAATCTTGAAGGACTTCCACCCTTTGTTTGAGCCGAAGTTGCTCGATGTCTTGCTCCTTTCACAACTCAGTCAAATGGAACGTCTGCAGAAAATCCAAACATATCTTCACGATCGCTGTGCACAAGCCAAAGCGGGGGCCATGACGATTTTTGCTGATCCAGCTCCTGGCTGCTTCGCAGATCGATACTTTGAATTGGATGGAGCGGATGACATGCGAATTCTGCAGACACAGATTGAAGGCGATTCAATGAGGACCCGCAATGCGAAAGAAAAGGAATTAGAAGCAGTTAACGCACACTATGAGGCTTTTACCAAGCAAAAAGCGGAAATTCCGTGCACTGAACGATTAAATCCTGATGGGACACATGATATTAGGGGCTGCAAGCACTGTTACATTGTGCGTTGTCGCTGGCGCCTCAAGATTCAAGTTCATGAGGATTTTCTTCCTCCTGGTAATATGATCCCCCAGAGGCGAGCTGTTGTCTTTGAGCTGAGTACACCGCAAGAGTTCGCCGCCTACCGCAATGCTACTTGGAATTTGGTTGTGGCAATTTCACATATGAACTCTGCTTTTGCAGCTGCGCCACAAGTATTGTTAGCCGACTACGTGCAGCTCCAGCCTTATAACCAGCGCAAAAGTTTCGCGTCGCTCACTCTCGCGTCGCATACTAAGTCATTTCTTGGAACACACTACAAATCACAGAAACTACCAGCAAAACCGCAAAAAGTTCTTCTGCCTTCCGGATTAAAGTTCTCATACTATGATTCCAAAAGCGGTATCTGGCTCAAGGCGCTTCCACAGCATCTGAGTTTTGCCCATCATTTTGCCATTCATCTTCCTCCCTCGCATCCGTTTTCAGATCTATACGCATCCTCAGTATTTGCTGCTGATGGGCCCGGCCCATCATCGTACCAAGCAATAGCCAGCACTCCCCGGTGTCCCTCCGGCATCAGCAATCAGGAATTTATTGCGCATCAGAACCTCATGGGAGGGACACGGCGGCGGTGGCTCTGTATTCTCACTGAGCTGGGCTCCTCGAATTTGAACCTCAGTCTGCGGGATACAACTGTTCTCCTTCGGCGTCTTGCGCTCCAAGCCGGACCAAGCTCCGATGGCGATGTTCTGCGAGCGGTGCATACAGTCTTTCGAGACCCGCAATTCTGCTTTAGACTAATTGAGCAGGTCGAATATCATGTTCAGACTATTGCACCCAACTGGCGTGAAATTAGCTACATGGAGACCCTTGTCATCCTCGCAACCCGGCTGTGCGCTCTTGCTTGCCCAGAAGCAATCGCACGTGCCCGTGCGCTCCTGCTCAAGCTTCGGAATGTGGCTCTTACATGGGTAAGGCTCTTGCGAAGTGAAATGCGAGCAGCTAAAGAAGCGGATGTCGCAAATCAAGCAGCTCGGTATTGCTTCTTGTCTGCCTTGCTATGTCGTCAAACTTTCTCACCGGAAGCATGCAGTGTCAGGAAACTAGATGCTGAAAGCTTCCAAGGCTTTGTCGAAGCGACGCTCGCGATGCAAGAAGCCTTGGTGGTCGATATGAGCAAGTTTACGGATGAAACACGCAATTTGCTGGTTCGTGATATCAAAATAATTGCTACACTCCGCAATGAGCTTCGAGAGCTAGCAATGAAGTATGTCAGCCACGTGGGATTTGCGATAAATGCCACTTGGCCAGCACGAAGTGGGAGGCGGACATATATTGAATGGCAATTCTTACCAGCACCGCACTCCTGGTGGCTATATGCAACGGTTCCAGCGGCCGAGCAAACCATTTCTCAGGAGGTGCGTTACCACCTGCTTGAGGGCCATCTGCTTGTTAACGGGCAGGCTTTTGGTAAGCTCCCGGCTGACATACGGGATTCCGAGCTACTCAACGAACTTTTCGGCAACCAAAGGCTAGTAGCCTTTCCCTCAAACTTACCCGGAATGACCTATATGCTTGCAAATGAGAAAGAAGGACATCATGTGCACCTCGGGTACCGACAGCGCAAGCTGGTGATCCGGGCCTTGAAGCTGGACCGGGTACTAGAGCTTGTTCCTCGTCAGATATTTGGCAGTGGCCTTCAGATGGATCTGCCTAGTTCTTGGACCGAGAGGTGTGTTCACTGGATTGACATTGATTCCAAAATCCTGGAGATTCGCCGCCATCCACGGATCTGGAAAACGAGTAGTTCGACCTTAGACTTCACCAGTCGAAGAGCGCAACATCGACAAGCCTTTCTGGTTGACCCACATAGCAGACTATTCCAAACTGTGGCCCAAATTTTCCATCACTTTGAAGAACCCCATATGTTAACGGTCATACAACCTTTCCACGGAAGCTTATGCGTGGAGTTAAAGCGCATGGACCTCACATTCCATGTCAACCGGAAACGGCTCTTGCAGTGTCAACAATTATTCGCAGAGGTAGATCCAGACCAGGACCCAGGGACTGTCTACGGGCTCCAGAGCATGATTGTGCTTCGAAACGTATTCAACCGATTGCAAAGAAGTGTAATCACCACCATGGGTAACATACAGTACCAACGCCATGACATGCATGTGCTCGTATTTATCGAGAACACCGGATCCTATGCAAGATATTCAATCGATGACGTGCTTCGACGGCTGATAAGTCCACCGGAGCCTCGTCTTCTCTACCACAAAGCGCAATTACATGCTTTCACTTCCTGTTTCATTCAAGATCCCCTTACAGGTCGTACAGGAACCGAGGAGGCTCTCAGTTCTCTACAATCAGGGCTCTGTAAACCTTGGGCTCCTTTGAGTGCTGGAACTATCGATATACTTCTCAAGATCTCGAGTCTGACTCCCCGGAGAGAGTATTATCCAAAGACCCAAAAGCTTCAGCAATCTGCACACTGGGATCCCGACCTCACCATATCTATTCAACATGATTCCTACGAGCCGGTGGTAAGTGGCCTTATATTTAAGTCCGAACAGCTTGCGCTATTCCACTTTGATGCTGCCAATCCAAATGTGGGCCCTCGATCTGCAGAGTCTCATCTCCAGGAACGGTCCCGTTGGCGACGATCCCTTTTCGAGCGAAATGGGACTCCCAATACATCCCTTGATCCCCCACAGGATGCTCTGTACATTGCTCGGGATCGCTGGCGCATCTCTAAACGTACCTCCAACGTGCGCGAAATTGCATTTTTGCTGCACCGGCGACCATCGAAGCTCCGAACAACAGAAAATCTGATCAAAATATTACGAAATTCGCCTATCATCGGCGGATATACTAGCTCGCTATCAGGATCGCTACAAGAGTGCCTGAGCATTGATTTGGCTCTTGAATGGGGCAGCTTGGTCCAGCTGTGCCGGGAATGCCGAACGGACAACATTGCAAAGATTTTGTTCCAGCTAGGTCTAAGGGCATTCGGGAAAGGAGTCAACATGACAGTACTAAGAGCTATCGTGTCATTCGCTCTCTTCGACGATCTCCAAGTTCTTGCCTATCCTCCATTCTCCTCCTTTACCAACATTCGAGCGGGCGAAAAGCCGTCCGCGGATAATATTTTGATTCATATCATACCGTTCTGTAGGCCTTATCAAGGTTTGCGAGGGAAGAGATCAAGGATCATTTCCAAGAAAGCGCAAAAAGATGCAAAAGAGCAATATGATCTTGCGTGTACTCATGAGTGCCAGGAGTTTGCTAATCACCTTGTAAAGCAATGGCCGAGCTCTGCGCCTTCGCTTGATGGCTTTCATTTGACCTATATAGAACTCGAAAAGGCGATGGAGGCAATTTCATTGGAATGGATTCGGATGTACAAAAACTTGCAGTTGTCGGATCACATCAAAGAAGTTCAGGCAGTGCTCAACGACCATTGGGCACACGTGAATGACGTGGCACCTGAACACGTCCTCTCAGCCTATCAAGAACAGGATGATCAACCGATGCTGGACTTCGTAATACCCAATGCGAGTCAGCTGTTGCAGAAGCCCGGCTCTAGACTGATGCTACGTTATGATCTCAGCTCTCTCGAACGTTGGATGGATGGCAAGTTGGCCGTTCCGGCACAGATTCCACTAGAGCAGGAGACTTATACAACCCCCGAGGTTGCAGAGTTGGAGCACATCATATCGAGTTTTGTTTCTTCAAGTTGTCCAGTCAGATCTAGGTACGGCGGCGATATCAGAGAAAGCATCTCCGCTCTGAAGAGAGCGCAATCAAAGACTGTTGCGGCCGTGAAAATGCTTGATCTTGATTTTGTGGAAGAAGTCAAGTGGTATAATGGCGAAATCAAGAGGGCTCGTATGACTGTGGACCGCCACTTCTGTCAAATTACAGAATCACTGGCGCGCGATGAACTGGGCTATTCATGGTTGGAGGCCGGCAACCTTTGGCCTGTGCTGACGCCAACGTCTATTTTAGAGCAACTTCGGTCAACATCTCAGTGTGTCTTTGGCTCGGCCATGAAGAGCGCGCTACTCGACTACGGGATGGAGGTTGTGAAGCTGCAGCAATTGATTCGAATGAAGGAAGCCTTAGGGAAACGGGACAATGGAAAGCTTTGCCAAGAGTACACCAACTGGAGAGGTGGAAATTGGAGTCCCTCTACATACCCAGATTGGCTTCTATTAGAGATCGACTCTAACATGAAAATCCGTCCTGAACAAGTCATAGTGGCTCAAGAGATAATTGCGCCCCGTTCCGGCTCCAACTCGGTCCTTCAGATGAATATGGGCCAAGGTAAAACTTCAATGATCATACCGATGGTTGCCTGCTTATTGGCAGATACCCAAATGCTGACTAGAGTCATTGTTCCCCGGGCCCTGTTATCACAAACAGCGCAGGTCCTCCAGGCCCGGCTAGGAGGGATGCTGAGCAAAGAGATCACGCACGTTCCCTTTTCCCGGAGGACACCAACTTCACCAAGCCACGTCGAGGCATGTCGCAAGCTACATGAGGATATACTTCATGGGGCAGGCGTAATTCTGGAGATTCCTGAAAATATATTGTCCTTCCGCCTTAGTGGGCTCCAGCGACTTTCAGACTTCAAGTTCACTGAGGCTGCCCACATGATTGAGGCTCAGCGCTGGAAGGATCGGGTTTGTCGTGATATCCTTGATGAATGCGACGTCACCTTAGCAGTTAAAACCCAGTTGGTTTACCCAGGTGGCTCACAACTCGCATTGGATGGAAATCCAGATCGGTGGGAAGTAATCATGACAGTCCTGAACCTGGTAGCGCGGGAACTCCCAGGTTTGGCTCGAAATTTTCCCAGAAGCGTTGATATCGTGGAGCGAAAGAATGAAGGGTTCCCAATTGCCTATTTCCTCAAACTTGATGTTGAACTTGAGCTGGTTCGGAAGCTAGTCGAAATAACTTGTAGCGGGCAGACGTGGATACTCCCATCTCATGTCTGTCCGCGCCAAACTCGCGAAAACCTGCGCTCTATCATATCCTGCCAAGATGTTGAAGCACAGACAGTCAAATCCTTTTTCGAAGATATACCGGACAATCCCAAGGTTCGAAAGATTGTGTATCTGCTACGAGGGCTATTTGCCCACGGCATTCTTCTTCTCGCCCTGAAGAAAAGATGGAATGTTCAATATGGACTTCACCCGGACCGCTATCCAATAGCGGTTCCATTTCATGCCAAAGGGGTGCCTTCAGACCAAGCTGAATGGGGTCACCCAGATGTTTCAATACTATTGACTTGCCTCGCTTTCTACCACCAGGGTCTAAGCGAGGGCCAACTTCGACAGAGCCTGCAGGCTGTGTTGAGCTCCGATGATCCTGCTATGGAGTATGATCGGTGGATACAGTCCTCGGTCACTCTACCTGATCGTCTGCGCCATTGGAATCTTATCAACATGGATGATAAAGAGCAATTAAGTGAAATCTGGCGCCATTTACGCTGGATTACCACGGTCATAAACCACTACCTCAGGCGTTTCGTTTTCCCAGCACATGCACAGCAATTCCAAGTCAAGCTTCAAGCATCCGGATGGGATGTTCCACTCTTCCAGACCCGCTCCATCTCGTCAAAACTGGGACAGTTCAAAGGTCCCGGTCTCACCACTGGGTTTAGCGGTACAAATGATAACCGCCGGCTACTTCCCCTCACAATGCAACAGCATGACCTCCCTGCACTATTGCATACCAATGCCGAGGTTCTCACCTACTTCTTGCATGCGAGAAATCGGCAGTATATCCAAGCAATCGACCTGGCCGGCAAGCGTTTGTCGGAAGTGGGACTTTTGCGCCGTCTCAAAGACAACAAAATCCGCGTTCTTCTTGACGCCGGTGCGTTCATACTCGAAATGGACAATCAAACCCTGGTCCGTACATGGCTGCAGGAAGACGACCAGGCGCAGGCCGCGGTGTATTTTGGGGCAGACAACAAACCATGGGTACAATACCAGACCGGCAAGACAATTCCTCTTCTTGCGACCCCCTTCGCCGATAATATGAAGAACTGTCTAGTGTATTTAGATGAGGCTCATACTCGGGGTACCGATCTCAAGTTACCACAAGACGCGAGGGGCGCTTTGACGCTTGGTCTGAACCAGACAAAGGATCATACCGTCCAAGGTATCATCTGCATCTAATGATTGCTCATCTAACATACATGACTGACTCCTTGTGCAGCTGCGATGAGATTGCGACAATTGAGCACAACCCAGTCTGTCACGTTTGTTGCTCCGTCAGAGGTCCACCAGAGTATCCAGGACGTTTGCGACAAGAGAGTAGGAGAAGACCTGAATTCGGCTGATGTTATAAATTGGCTTCTTGATCAGACTTGTGTCACCAACAGACAGTTACATTCCCTGTATCTTTGGCAGGGTAATGACTTTTGTTACCGAATGCAGGCCGCTGCGACCTTTAACGACTTCCTCTCGAATATCGATCACCGGAAAGCATATTTGAAGTACTTGCAGCAGCCAGAGCAGCGAACCTTGGAGCAGCTGTATGGACCCCGTATATTGAGAGGTGATGAGATCGCATCTCAATTGGAGGGCAATCTTCAACTTTTTGGTAAGCTCAGAAGGTTTGTGGACATCCTTGAGGAAAAGTACCATCCATCCACTTCAGACAGGGAGTCTGTGCTACCTTTTGCATTGGAAGAAGTAGAGCAACAACGCGAGGTTGCCAATGAGGTTGAGCAGGAACGAGAGCTTCAGCGACCAAGTTTTGTTCATGCTCTAGAGTTTCCAGGATTGCATCAGGTGATCCAAGATTTCGTTGAAACCGGCTTCCTCGGTGGCGACGACGTCTGTCCGCAAGCTTGCACTGTCATAACATCAACTCGGCTCTGGAAGAAACAGATGATTGAAACCTTTTCATTGATATCCCACGTCTTCTTATCGCCTGAATTTGCTAGGACTGTTCGACTGGGTACTGAACATGAGTCTGATAATTTTATTGTAAGCTCTGGGCCCACTGCAAGCATCTGATAGCAGCAGAGGCTTCGTCGCTTTTTACTAACATTACACTCTTCAGCGTCCTGTGAACTGGGTTCTTTTAAGCATGCGTGCGGATGTCGCCCTGGTCATTATACCAGAAGAAGCAGAGTTGGTCATTCCTATATTACGCGAACAGGCAGACCCGCCTACGCACCTGCTCCTATATGCGGCGCCCTTCACGAAACGGATGCTCCATTTCAACCGCCTAGACTACTATTCACTTCCTCTTCTACCTATCAAATGGAGTCCACCGTCCTGGCTCCCATTCGAACTTGGGATTTTAGCCGGGAGGTTTTATTTGGCATTTGCGGAATGCCAAGATTTTCAGCATCGAATCCATGCTAGCTCTGGCCGCACAAGTGAAAGTGACCGACTCCCGAAAAGCACTTCAATCGAGGTGGAAAGTATTTTATCCTTCCTACAGGAGTGGCTGAACTTACGTCGCCCGGGGCAAGATATTTCCCATACGCCAATGGGATACATCTGCCAGGGTCTCACACTCCGCAGTGACCATCCCTTCTTCGCAAGCCCTGCGGAGGCCGAAATAAGTGCTATTGTGAATGGCGATATGGTTTATGCGCCTTGTCCCCTGTACGACGATGAAGAACCAGACAGTGTAAGCGATGGAGAAGTCACAATTGTGGACCAAATGGTGGAGGAAAAGAATGAATCAGGCAATGACGACGATGAAGAGATATGCATCTAAGGCTGAGAATTTCTTGATACCAATAAGATCCTGAATATCACTAGTCATGGAATTAATCAAGATTGGTTGGTAATCGACTTCGTTGAAATAAACTGGGGATGGCAAACAAACTTCATCAGACTAGACCTCTTGTGGGCGTACTCTTGGTAGAGTTGGACTGATGGGTCTTTGTTGACGTATGAGGGAGCTTTTGAATATGAGCAATTCGAAGAACAATGGCGGTTGAATTGAGAGAACTCACCTGTCTTGAACTATGGTCCCTAAGGATCAGCTGTTCTGAGCCTTTTGAATGGCTGCAGCGGTTCAAATTGAGCTGCTGAAATGTCAATGACTGTTGAACCGATCGAACCGACGGAGAATCTCTCTTCGGAACCCTCTGTGAAACCCGAATTAGGTCGAGGGTCGATTTGGATTGATTCCGTGACTGAGCCCGTAAGCCCTCTATTTTGATACTCTATGCTAAGACTTTGACGGCTTCCAGTCGATTTTTGTTTGGCTTACTCATGACACGACGCCTCCGACAGTTATCTGACCATAGATCACGACCTAAGTATTGAATTCGACTAGTCGAAAATTGAATTGGGCCTCTGAATCTCAAATTTAATACATGCAATACTTTTTTGCACGTCAATATATGTCCTCCTGGTTCAACAGGTTCCTTTATTGCTACCATGATTTCTCATTCCAGAATTGTTCTCCTGAGCGGCTGGGCGGCACTTTGGGCAGTCACTTTCGAGCTCCATTGCTTTGGGCTTGGTTCCCTCTTCACATATTTCACCTGTATCGCGATATAGCTGTGGGAGACATCGATGTATCGACTTCTTTGTAGGAGCATCCTTTTCTTTTGGAACATCCCCACTTAAGGTGATCTCTTAACGTATTTTGGGCCACTATTCGATCCACACTATATGTAAGTCAGGTGGCTATTGTAGTAAATAAGGCATTGCAAACCTCTTTTGCCTTGGATGTCCAGATAAAAAAGCAAGTAATTGCTTGGATAAACTACTAAGACATTCATCAGTATAAGACTTATTACCAAGCTCGAAAATGTTTTACCTTGCTCTGTGGGAAGAAAAATTCCGAATGCTTTCTCTAGAAATCCCGATGAGAATAGCTGTCTATTTATATTAAGCCCCGAGGCTTATAGTGAGTATCGATAATGATCTAGCGCTCTCGGGGTAGTAACGCGTTTTCCACTTATCTTTTTTATGTTTACAATAGCTAAGCATACTAGGAATCAAATGGTCCAATTTTACTTTTGTAACCAGTGTACAGTATGCCTCTTATCAGAAACTCCTCGACGACCTTCATTGTATCAACGCTCAGGGTGCTGCATGTACGCTATGCGAAAAAGGGAACCGGTAATGTCGATCGTACCAGTAATGATATTGTATCAGTATGGCAGCATTGGCTGTTGATGACTGCTGACTTTTGTCGCGCTGTAGAGTTAGTCTGTTATGTGGTGGATGCTGGCTCCGCGTTTGAGTGGCTAGCCAAGAAACCTAACAGGTCTCAAATCGCTCTTCGTACGGTAGACTTGTCATGCATCTCTTGTCACATGAAGTTGCCGCCTCCATGTCTAGCGCCACGGTAAAAAATCACGTAGTATACTGCTAGGGTTATTTTGGGCGTGAGAGATGCTTCGTCTCTTTCCTGTTTGTCATCTACGGCTTGAAATACTCTCCATATTCTTAATATGACAGTTTCGAGCTCTAATCTACTTGAATGGCTTACTCAATGATGTGAAGTCAACTCACAACATCCATCAGATCGTGACCTGGTAGAACTTTTACGTGGTTTGCCCAGACTGCAGCCCCAAGTCATACAGAGATATGGTGCGCCCCTGTTCAGAATAGCTGATGCTATGTTGTAATTTATTCCATTTACTATGGTATTTTGGGTGTCCAGCTGGTTTGGGAATTACGTTACATTTTTTCTTCCCAAGACTTTTGCAAGCTCCCTGTCGATCCTGAGACTATCCACATGGTCTAGCCACTTATTCCACTTTGGAACACGTAAAGTACCAATTATGTTTGGCCTATCGAGTCTCAATCTAATTGGGCCTTTCTTGCGGGCCAGGATGCGGGCTTGAGGCCAGATTTTGATTCCTAGCCGCACAGCCCGACAGTAGCGAACGGACTAACGCAAAGGACTAGGATGCTTACATGACTAGTGCGGCGGAATCAATCGCTGCCTAGATGCAGTTCTGTCACCTGGGCGTAATAGTGGCGTATTCCCTAAATCGTACTGTTCACCAAAACAACACTATATAACCAGCTTCTGTTTCCAGTGACTTCTGAATAATCTACACAGGTTTTTGCTCAATAACTTTCCCCGTACACTCAAATGTCGGCCACTTACGATGCTCTCGGATCATTTGAAAGTCAAGAAACACTCCACTGCTACCCCTCCTGTTGAGCCAACGCAAACTTCCCCCCAGACATTTCCACTTGTTTGCCAACCGCGATATAATTCTCCCGCAGCTAGCACCGTTTTGGAAGCATACAAATTCTACAAAGCCGGGGCAACTTGGGCATGCGCAGAGCGGACTGCACTGTGTTCGGAACGCAAAGAGCTTTTGCGAGATGATTCATTTGCGTGCAGAACAATATTCTGTTGGATGGCAGTACCAAAAGTTGAGCCCTGAGCAGCACTCTCAAGTCAACCAACTTGTCCAAGATCGATAAGCAGATCTTCCCGGGATGATATGGACCTATGCCTATGCTAAGGAATATTATTATGCAAAAGTGACTCGTAATCCTCGTCTAGATGATTTCGAAACGACATCCATGGTGATAATTCTTATGGGGAGACCCATGGAACCGATAAAATACTGCAGTATGCTCATGGGACTTTATTTGGACCTCACGGAGTCTCGTCATTCCCATGAGGGTGCGATGAATCATTTCAGGTAGCGAGTCTCTAACACCTTGTCCCGTATTCATATCAACAAGAGTATTGTGCCCCTCGATAGATGTTCCAGTAAATCCTCCTCAATTAGCAGATGACTTGCTTCTGACGTGTCGAAAATTCTTTGACGACAGTAGGAAATGAGCCAATTCAGGTTTCTCCTGTCACCTTCTACCTTGACTCCGATTAGATTCCAAAAGAACATACGTACAGTGGGAACAAGAGAAAATACGTCTATTCCCGAGCTATGAGAAATCATTCTTGCCAGTGGCCCTCGACAGAAAACAAACACCGACCTCCACTATTCTGGGCAATTTTTCACGTAGGCTCAACTTTGGCCCTTTGACAATAATTCTGTGTGGGTCAGTTAGTGAGCAAGAGATGGTTTAAATATCAGGTGGTGCTGTTTGTATAATAGCTTGTTGCAGCTCGGAATTCACCCTCCTGAGCTTAGTGAATCACCCTAGCGATTGATGAACGGCCCTTGGTCAGGCTAAGATCGATTCAGCGAGACTTGTGACAGTTGTCGGTAGCGCAACTGTCCACTGATCGACTGTCGTTACTTCAGTTCTCGCTGAGAAATCGTTATAACGTCTTGGTCTCGGTTGCATCCTTCCTTACGAGCCAACGACGCGACAAAGTCTCTCATTACGACACCACAGAGACGGTTAATTAGCAGACGCGTCTAGCTTAGACCACGTTCTGGGATTGGGATCGGTATATCCGGCAGGGTGAGAGAAATTCGTACTGGATGAATCAGAAATCACAAAGACGTAATGTTCCCCCAAACAAATATCCATCACGCTGGAATAGCCCCGAAGCTCCTACTGAATGAATCGCCAAGGTTGATTTGAGCGCTTTGGCTGGTGTAGATGGATAGTGTGTAGCCCACTTTTCATACCACAGTTGAGGAACCTAACCAGACTCCATCTCCCTGTGGGACGGGGACGGGTGGGACAGGTTGGCCGGGGGCCACAGGCGTGGACAACGGACCGGGCCGCTGAGTGTGGATATAAAACGAGATGGTCATATGATGAAGCAGAAGCTGACATACGACGGACTGCATTGATCCGTAAAGGGCATTCTGTATGACACGGACGATGGCCGCCTTAGGCTACTCCCCTAAACAGGTGCCGACTATTGATGTTTCTGGCGTCAATCCTTCTTGAAAGTCCGGATGCTCCGACATACCCCCTAGACAGGGACCCTCATGCGACTATCTTCAAAGGACGGTATCTCCCCATGAGTAGATGTCAGGTTTTGGGTGGCCTACTCTCTGAGGGATGCGTTCGTCACCTACCTTTGTAGCGGACAAGAATACAAGTGCACGACAATCTTGAAGATCTAAGCTTAGTGCCAAATCTAAATGGAACTGCGTCTAACAACAATAACGTCCGACTCCTGGCTAGTGCTTGACTTACGATCAAGTAAGGACTGGGCAGAAGCATTGAACCAGCGCTCAAGCTTTGTGATTGCTTTCTGCGTAGACATCTCAACCTCGAACGCCCGATTCTCGATAACATCCAGGCATTGTTGCCCCTGTTCATCTATTTCATCTTTGTGCTTTTGCGCTTCTTCTTCCAGGTCCTTCATAAAGTCATTGGTCGCATTGCACAAGTCGGTCTTACCATCCTCGACCTGGTCATCAAGATCGGCTGCGTTCGTTTTGTGTTGGTCAAGCGCCTGATCAAGCACCTGATCACAGCACTCGCTCACGGCCTTATTAACAAATTGTTTGAAGCGGCGGTCAATCTCGCCATTAACATATTGTTCGAGGCGGCGTTCAAAACTCTTGAAAGTGGCAAATCTGATCTGCTCAGACTCGTTTCCAGACTCGCTTGGCAGGAAGCTGACTACATTGGCCAGGAGATGTTGCTTTCCTAATCGAATCAATAGTTTGCAGAGTTGGTCATCGGAAACATCACGGAGCTCATTCTCCAGATGGTCAAGTCTGCTAAGTTTTGTAAGACCAGGAGAGGAAGCATGTTTGAAGTCAGTTGGGCAGATTGAGGCCGGCGAAGTAGAGCATGGACTCGATGGATCGACTTCGGTGGGAGAATCTAGCGATAGAGGGGATGAAAGGAGCGGTCTTGTTCGTCTTTCCTCGCCAGATGACATTGACCTTAATTATGTGGATGAGCCATTGAACGCCAAACTACACAAGAAGATGAGAAGATGGCAGAATACCTGAGCCGTTTGCCATTCCTGGACACGGGATATGGGGGTGGATCCACTTGATCCACCTGCTCGTCGTCATAATCTGGGGGTGGCTCATGCGACAGCTTAAAGGCATGCCAGTCTGTCTGCGCCAAGCCATGGCGATCGTAGTCAAAAGTCTCTGCCTGAACGCTTCTTTTCTGCAGGGCAACCGAGAAAGTTTCCAGCTGATTAAGTTCTTTCACCGCAAATTGTCGTCTGGCAAAGTGTAGACGGAGAAGTTTGGATTGACAGACTCTTGCAAATGCGTAGAAATTCAGGTCTCCTGGTTTGGCTGGGCTTAAAAACTTCATCCTAGCTGGACGAAGAACAATGCCGGTCTCGTTCAGAGTCAATTCCAGTGTTGAGGCGGCCGAAACATGGGTAACAGGCGTTGGAAGCATGGAAACCAAACCAGATGGACAGAGGCCATCGTTGCTTTTCCGGGACAATTTACAGGTTTCGACTACTTCGGGAGGGACGTTCAATTTTAGCTCCTGCGATTTGCCGCTCAGGTTAGCGAGATCTGCCTTAACATTCAGGGAGATAGATCCTTGGTTGGTATTTGCATCAAAGGCAACACGAATGCGAGCAAAACAAGAAACATCAAAATCAAGTGCATAAACCAGTACCGCCTTATCCAAAACCCAGGTCTGGTTTAGCGATGTAGTGGTCATTGTGTGATTGCAATCTTCGCTAGATTAAAGGTAAGACCCTCAATGTATTGAGAAACCCTCCCACCCGAGCTTTAAAATGTTGAGCAGCCCTGACTCGCGTGAAATGTTGAATGAATATTGATAAGAAGATGAGAGTAAAGTGGTAAAGCACTTGCGGCCTGGTCACGAGCACGTGCCCAATCCGAAGTCAACAAGTGAAATCGGAGAGTCCTATGATAACACAGGAATGACAGGGCTGGCGGCGAGAACAGCAAAAGCAATACCTCCTTTCGGGATGATGATGATGATGTTGGAGGATAAAGGTGAAGAGGAAATGCCCTGAGAGAATGGAAAAGGGGAGGCTGGGGCTGGCGGAAAGATAAATCTGGTCACGTGATCGGAACTCGGACTCCGGACTCGAACGGAGCTCGGATCTCCGTATTTACATAACACCATCAATTTCACGGCGATGATTAAACCCGTTCCAAATATAGATGTTTACACGGATTCGAGAAATGATTATTGTCATAGGGTACTAGGCGACCGAGATACATTACGGCACATAGGCTGCGGCACTATCTAAATTATCGGCAGATAATCGATTATCGTATCCGTAAATTGCGTGTCACCTAATACGCACTATTCATGCATTAGGGTTAGACCTGTACCTACTGGAAGACGCGCGCGGGGCGCGCCTTAGCCCTGAAACGATGAAAAGAAGGGGGTGGTAAGAAAGTAAAGTGTACATAGAGACTTAAATTGGCGAGCAAGTCAACATGCATGTGAAATAAGTTAGACCAATAAGGGAGGCAAGCTATCAGCATGACTTATACCCAGACCATAGAAGAGGTACAAGACCGGATTAAAGCTTCAAGTGTTCAATTTTGTTTGGGCAATAGCATAGGATGATTTTCGTGGTCTTTGGGAACGTCTTCCTGGCGTAGGAGTGTACGGTTGTGGCGAGGATTGAGTATCATCGGGTGTGTCTGGCCAGGTTATTTGGGTTTCGTCCTCGTCGTCATTTAGAGCATCGGTTTCAGTGGGTGTGTAAGATAGTTGGATGGTCGACGTCGTATCCTTCTCCAACGAGGCCAACGAGTTCAATGGACTCCGAGCGTTAGCCCTTTGGGACCAGCGGTCCTGGCGTCTTCGTTTACCAGTTGTTGATGGGGTTGGGGGCAAAGAATGTGATGTGGTTGGAAGGAAATATATATCGTCCGTAATCACAGCTAATTGGCGATTCTCTTTGGTGACGCCAAAAATACGTCCAGTCAGGAAAATGCTGGTGTTGATGCTTAGTGGTGGAAAGTTCGCCCAACGTTGTCTCTTTTTGAAGTATGCGGTCAAAAGAAATGTGTGATGGCTTCGAGACGAACTGTTGTAAACTGTAGATTGGAGACGATAGTGTAATAGAGTCGGGCCATCGTTCAGCTGACCCCCGCGTTCAAGAACAGTTCCAAGTACGGTTACGATAGGCTGAGCCGCCTCGGGGCAATGCATGAATTATGAATCTGTATCTTCTTGATCACCCGGGTGTCTAGAACATGTCAGGCATGTTCTTGCGGGGGCTGTGGAAGTTACTAACCGGTCAACGCTGCTAGCATGAAGAAGAATATGAAAGTCGTCACTGTCAGAGGAGCTGGTGAGGAAAGCGCCGCATGCAGATAAAAGCGTTTGGTTGGTATAGGCCAGGCCGGTTGCCCTCATTAAAAAACCGAATCAGGGTGGGAATGTCATCCTGTTCAACATCGTCGGATTGTAAAAAATGCAGGAACAAAAATGGATGGTAGTACATATAATGTACGGATGGTAATCTGAGGGTCATAATCGACATGGAAGGCTGTACCAAAATTAGAAGACACGAGTGATTACATGGGCATGAGAAATCACTGGTACAAAGACAGACACGCGGACGAGACCAAATGAGAGAGCTACAAGGCTAAAGGAAAAGGAGCTAGCGAATAGTAAGAAGAGTTCAGCAGACTGGTAACATGGCGCGAAGGCAACACGGGGGAGGCATACGATTGCGTTGTCTTTGACGCAGTTGCTTGATATTTGTCATCCTTTCGCGCATCAAGAAATGCATCATGGAAGACTCCATGAATTGGAGATCCCGCCTCACAAGATGAACGGCATGGTATCTGCTCAACCATGGGTGAAAGACTATTCTCGGCTCAACGAAGGATCGCTACTGAAGGTGCTGCAGACAGCTGGTAAAGGACCGAATACTGCTGCTAGGTACAAATTGGAGTGCTGCACACGGTTTCTTGACACAACACGAGTCTTGATATGCTTTGCCCGCGTTCAAATTTGCCTTCCAAATTGATTACCCGTATCAGATACCGCTTTCGCAAGACCCTCATGTTCCTGAGATTATATTCCATAGCATAGTTCCTAGGAGTGCTCTTGGTCGCTCCTGGGGATCAGACTCATAACTCCTAGGATACATACAGCTCCTGGGAGTGAACTGGATAGCCCCAGGAACGAGTATTGGTTTCCCCGGGCTTTTTAATTTAGCAAGATCGATGCCTCAAAGTTATGCTCTCACGATAAGCGGATCTAAAAAAATATAAGTTTTTCTCGGTTAGGCTAATCGGATGTTCGGTTTCCTGCAAGTCATCGTCGCTTATCAGTGTTAGGTCTAATAGTAGTTGACAGACAGAATTTGTAACACCTTAAACCCGCTATAGCAAGCTTTTTGGAAGTACTTTGATCTGGAACAAATAACAAGCTTATGGGTCGAGAGAATGTTATCCTTGCAAATAATGGTCAAATCCTTGCTTTCGAATAGCCTCAATTGCTGATGAAAGCAACAAGTCAACAAGTTCCTAAACCTTCAGGAGGAACTCCCGCCGTTCACTCTCCAAGATTGGTCACGGCTGGAACAGATTCGCACAGTACTCCACAAGTTCAATGAGCTTACTTTGTTCATCTCGAAACGCAATCCGCAAATCAGCCTCGCAGTCCCGATTTACTATAAGCTACACGAATTGCTTGATGACGTGATGGAGGGCAATGGTAACTTCGCAAAACTGGATCGAGATATCATAGCTGCAGTGAAAGAAGGGATGAAGAAATACGAAAAGTACTATTCCATTATGGATGACTGCGACACCTACTACACTGCCCTCATCTTGGATCCCCGAGTCAAAGGTGAAATGGTCTTACGGGAACTTCAAGATGGCAATGCAGGGACAATGATTCTGGAAACGATCCGCACCAATCTCCATCAGGTATACGCGGCTAGTAACCCGGAGCAAAATGCCGCTGCATCACAGTTGTCTTCACTGCAGCATAGTGATGTGGAGTCTAGAATGCTGAAGAAGTTGCAGGCGCGAGATCCACCGCTCTCAGATATTGATAAGTACTTCGACACCCCTCCGATCAGCGTCACAGACACGACCGACCGGAACTGGCTCTGTAATTGGTGGAAGATGCACAAGGGCGAGTATCCGCGGATGGCAGCAGCAGCCAGGGACTATCTAGCGATTTCTGCTTCTGAAGTTGCTGTCGAGAGAGTCTTTAGTACAGCAAGGGATGTGCTAGGCATTCGGAGATATTCTTTGAAAGGGGATACCATAAGAATGCTGATGTTGATTCGCGATGGGTATAAGTGGTAGCGGTCAAGGGATTTGGTTCCATTATGCCATCGGGATATTCCGGTTCTGCAATCATAAATTGTTAAATGAAACTGCTATCCGACGAAAGCTCGTTCGCTCTCTAGATTATTCTATAGGAGTAATGTGCCGATACCGATACGATAGGACGATATCGTGAGTGGCGATATCGTCAAATTTGAAGTCCGCCGATATCGAACCGGCAATCGGCATCGACAAATTCAAAAGTAGCCGATATCGTATCGTCAAAATCGGTATACCGGCAATATCGTCAACAGCCCTACTGACGCTATAGTGAGCTGGAATTGGAGGGAGTATGGTCGACCGACGAACATGTGAATTAAAAAAGTCCTGTACATCATGGTTATATCACTCCACAAATGATAGCCGAATGCTGATTCGAACGCACCTCTGATTTCTCAGGGATGTTGAAGTGGTGAACAATCATTCTACTATAGTCTCTCCTCCGGCCTTTCTGTGTTCATCCCTCAGATGTCCTTTCCAATTTCGAATCGTTCTTTGAATATCACAAATTATGGCCCGTGCGTAGCTGCGACAGCAAGTACGCCCGGTTCCTGGGTAGCTTTCTGTACAGTGTAGGCCGCCGGCAGAGTGTTATCGATTTTCGTAGATGACCAACTTTGGTAGATGCTTTCCATCCCGCTCCCACGGAGAGGATATTGTCGCGGATAAGCACCCTCTTCCTTGTCAGCGAAGGGCGAAAGGGGTGTGTTTTGCCCCCGCGAGGCCGCACCGGTATGCAAATCTGCTCGCGGTGCGGTGGCCAGCTCCCTATGAGCCAGTTTATCGACCTAGTACGGGGCGACCAGCCGTTTATACCATGCCTGCGTTGCGGACTGAAAACAGTGGTGTCCATGCCGAGATGATCGTTTAATTAGGGAAACGTTGTCAAACGTACAGCAGAATAGAAGGGTATCACTTCAGGTTTTTCTTAACAAGTGCCTGGTGATGAGGGGCAGGTTATCGCCCTAATTCTGGGAGCGGGTCAAGCCAATCATCCTTGCCCTATTTGTTGGCGTCATTTATTCCTCCGGTGGGTGTAAGCATTGAAGACTTCAGGAACAGGGACTGATGTCCTTTTCCTCAGAAGACAGAGGGCCTCTGCTTCTCCCATCTGAACCATAGGCCCCACTTTCAATATAGTTGATGCGTTAATCTCTATGATTTTGTAGCCTCCTATGCTATGCGGAGCACTGGAATGCTGTCAATGCAGAATCTCCTTCCATATACTAAATCTTGACCTCGACTTACAACAATCACAACTATATACACTTAGAAACTGCACTGTAGTTATAAAGCAATGTTCTGGCATTTCGAAAATTTAATCCGCAGTTTCCTAAATGCAATAGCCATGGAGTTATGGCCGCTGGTTTGGTCATTTTGGAGACCATCAGCAGATTTACCGACTCGCGGCCTGTCCGCCGCATTATGATGAGCGGTACATCTTCCGCCTTTCGAACGCGCATAAATCTGCAGCCTCGACCAGAGTGACTCATCTCACGACACTTTTCTTTGTTTGCATCGTGTCAAACAACGGTAAATCAATGATGATGGAGGACGGAGCTGTGGCATTTGCCGGTCCTCGGCAGCCTCACCTAGACCCTAATCAATAATGCCTTAAGGGACCCGGGGCAGGGTCCGAATTTTCTGTGCGCTTATTGGCCCCTGATGAATACGGGGCCATCTCCATACCTGGACGGAGACGCGACGCGACTACGTCCCTTCTTTGTTGTTAATCATTTAGCAATGTACTTTATGGATTTGAAGTAACTAAAATCGCATTAATATCTTTCGGATTTTAATCAGTTGTATTACCTCCGTCACATACAGTCTGAGATCAGTTCAATGCTAGCGTGACAGCGAATCCACTTCTGATCCACTGAAGCGACTATCTATTCTGTCCCGGAGCCTCATCTAATCAGCATAGAAATAGTGATGGAGGGATTTTGTCTAGCCACAAACGGAGGCTAAGGTGGAGCTCCGCCAATCCATACGGACTGAGTCCTTGAATCGCTGTCAGAAATGCTTCTATCAACCAATGTAATATGTCAAGCAAGTCGAAAATGGATGTATCAGATTCCGTGAGATCCGGTCCTAGCTTTTCTCGTCTTTACGCCCCCTGAATAAAGAAACTTGAAATGGGTGGATGCCCATTCTATTCGCCTTTGTCGGCACTTTTTATTTTTAAAATGACTCGAAAAAGCCTATCTGATTTGAAATATCCGCAAAGGTCCCATCCGCACTTCAGCGTTGACGAGGCTAAGAGGCGGATACGGGAGCGGCAACGCCAAAATAGGGCTCGTCGACGAGCAGAGAGGGAAACTAAAGAAGAGCGGGTTGTTCCCCTAGAGGACCGACCAGCTCAGTCCCGTCCTGAGATTTCGGAAGAGGAGGGGCTAAAGACATGTTCTAATTCCAATGAGCATGAAATAAGCATCTCTAGTGGTTTGGACCGCGCGATTAATATAAGGTTTCTCTCTGATGCAGATCAAGATCCCCATGTCCTTCACCACCGTCGTCTCGATGCCATCCGTGCCAAGGAGTACCGCAAACGCTAGAAAAAACGATACATTGACACTACCACTTGTGTCTTAGGCTCTCTAAGGGCTAAGCAGCCCTATCCGGATCAGAGCAATGAAGCTATCTCGTCCCTATCGGCCTCACTCTCAACCATAGATGATACTGTGATAGAAACTAGTCTTGGTGACGATGTCGACCATACAGTGACCGGCTGAGATTTGTTGACGAGAATTCCATCTAATGACTAGGCTGCGGCACTATCCAAATTATCGGCAGATAATCGATTATCGTATCCGTAAATCGCGGATAACGATATAAATTCATTATCGAATTATCCGCAACGATACGATACGATAATTATATTTTCATTTGCGGATATCCGCAGATTATCGTACGATAACAAATATTGCAAACATGCTAAGACTCGTGACCTGAGCGAGTTTGCATAAATTATGCATTCTCCCCTGTATTTTTTGGGGTATTCAATGTGTAATTGATTGTATATTTGTCACGGGAATGACTGGCCTACGATCTTTTCTCCAAATTAATCTACTTTGTCTAGCTTTATTGCAACAGCATTCAATTATTCAAGATCATATCACAGGTTATCAAACTCAAATCCATCTGGCTGCTTTGGCTTCTTCCGAATCCTCCCCGATCTCCCCTGCGTGGGCTTCTCAGTTGGCATATCAGGAAGCGGGAGATCCTTATCACCATCATCCTGAGGCTCAACGGCACTATGAGGCCGCTTGCGCCGTGGTTGCTTGCCCCGGATTGGAACCGGTGTAGGAGTCGCCTGCTCAACTGTATAACTATATCCCAAATCATTTTCTGAGTCATCCGATCCATCCTCCGCTTGATTACCATCTTCTTCGTTTTCACTGATCGGCTCGATATCGTGAAGCGACGGAGCTGGCTTCCATGTCTGATCGAGTATGGCAACCTCTCCGCTAGAGAGATACTCCTTGATCATCTCGAGCTCGGTTTGTTGAAGCTCGAACTTCGATGCGAACAGATGAAGCATTAGAGACCTGATGGTTTCTGGTTTAAGCTGCCCCCGGCGATAGTGACAGACATCACGAGCACAATTGAAGAGCCGCTCAACACCAGCGCCACTAGCAGGTGTTGCCAGATTATCCCGCGCCATCGCTGCAAGCACTGGATATTCATGCTCATGCTCCTTCCAGAACACCCTTGGCTTTCCTTTGGTAAGACCTATAGTATAACTTAGCTGGAAAGCCGTATAATAAAGCAGGGAAGTATACAGACCCTGTGCAAGATATCGTGTGATCTCATCCTCCGGTCGGTCAATTTCACTGTGTAAAGCGTGCAAATCCATCATCAGATCAAGCTCCTCTTCGTCCACTTCTTGAGAGACTTGGGCTTGAGAGGGCTCCTTGCGGCGGGTTATGCGTTGTTGATATTGGTCAAATTCCTTCTGTAGTTTATCCCGATAGATCTCCATCCAATTGATATCTTCTCCCTTCTCGTTTTTCTCTTTCCAGTCATCGCCTTCAAAAAACCGAAGCTTCTTCGATGGACACAGAATAGTTGCAATTGCATAAACTGTGCCAAACGATTCACTGCCGGTCGCTCTGTGGTACTTTGAGAGTTTCTGTTTCGCTGCCTGTAGTGCCTGAAGCATTCTCTTTTTCCAAGGGACAGTCTTGCGTTCTAGTAACTCCGCAACATCATCAAGATGGTTAAAGAGCTCCTTATAGATGCTGAAGACCGAATGAACAGTAACATCTTGAGTCTTGGACAAGATCTTGGTGTAATGAAAGAAAGGCTTTGTGACCAAAAGGAGATACTCCACTTGGCGCCATTCCTCTTGGCCGAGCTGAAATTGAACGTATTGGTGGGTTGCACAGTACTGGTTGAAGACTCGCTGTAGTTTCTTGGCACGTTCGAGCATTAAGAAAGTAGAATTCCAGCGTGTACGGACATCCTGAATCGGTAGAAGCTTGGGCTCTGTTATTTGAAGCGCCCGGAAAGCCTCTCGGCGCTGAGGACTGGCGGTAATGAATACAGTGAGCTCTCGAATCTAGGCTTTTTTAGCAATTATATTCTCGGGATACAACATGATACATTTACCTTCTTCAAAGTAGCCACGATATTCCCTGAAGCGTAACCTGGAGCGGACTGTAGCGACTTCGTACGTTCACCTGACCACTCTGACTCGGCCTCTGCATTCTTTGGGTTCGCTTTGATCTTTCCAAGGAGGTCTTTCAGGCTAAGTTGTATAACGTGCACAATGCATGGTACTCGGAAAACAGAGGTATTGTGAAGAGCGTGGGACTGAACCATCTCTTGAACGCCTTGGATCATTGTGTTGTTGTTTGATGCATTATGAGTTGTGATTGATAATACTCGGTCGGTAATACCATGCTCTTGGAGGATTCGGATAACAGTCTCACTTAGATGAGTCCCAGTATGAGATCCCTGCATATGCTCAAATCCAAGAAGAACTTTACAGTAATTCAAGCCCTGGTCGAGAAAGTATCCAGTGATTGCCAAAAATGCCTGGCCAAAAGGAGAGGTCCAGCAACCGAGTGCGATAGAGAGATAGCTTCTAGAAGGAAGCTTACTGAGTACACTTTGCTATTGTTCCTGGACTTCATTATCCAAAAGACGTCTTATACTGCGGGCGGACGGGATATTGAGTTCTGACTTCGCTAGCCTGATATATTGCAGTAGGTCTTTGAACTCTTGTTGCTCGACAGTGCGGAATGGGAGACGGGTGGTTGTGATAAACCTGAGGATCTTCTTCTGGAAGGTGGTCTGGCTGAATTCCGTGCTTGTTGATCTTCGCGGCTAGGTAGAAATAGACAAGGTTAGTTTTCAATAGAGATTTGATCTAGGATAGACGTACCATCTCTCGTAGTAGCTGGTTAATGCCTTGCTTTGTAGTTGTCCGTGGCTGAACACAGACTGTACTAGTAAGATGGTTTTTTATGGGAGACGGACCGGCACGCTTAACCCCTGGGTGAACGATCACATTCTGACCGCGTTTACACATAACCTTGGGCTCGCCACTCCGCGCATTTGCAACCTGATCAAATGAGCTCCAAACATCAGACTTTTTCAGTATAGTATCCCATCTAATAGATTTCTGCAGTTCTTTCTTGCTGCCAAACTCAGTCATTAGCCACCGTTTCACAAACTGTATCTGAGACATCTCCATCATTGGATCGGTTTTGTCGCAGTTGTAGAGAATATAAGATGATTGAAAGAGTTTGCCGACGCGCTGTAGTAAGTCGGGGGCACGAGGATATCGAGGGGAGGGGGAGTGTCTGAGACAGGAGTCGAATGTGCTATGCTCTGACTACTCAACACGTCTGAGGATTCATCTGATTGTGGAAAGTCTGAATCAATGAATGAGTTGGCGAACTGAGATGCGTCATATTGGCTCCTTGATACTTCGGAATCAGACATGTCGAGTAGAGGACCAGGTACCAAGTGTAGAACGATCGATTATATAAGGAAGAGACTTACTAGAAATTTAGCGAAAAAATTGATGCGTAGGCAAACGTGTGCGCCCGCGATGTCGACGTGCTCACGATAATACTCGATGCTAATTGGGTATGTATTAAGCGGATGTGGGAGGTTCAGACGATAATTGACGATAATCTGCTGACAATCCGCCGACTATCTTCGGATTATCCAATAATTATCCGCGTCACCAACCCAAAAAAAAAACGAAGTCCCCCATTTCCAAACTTCAAATCTAAATTGCGCCTTACTTTTTTGTGTAAACATGCTGAGATAAATAAACGTATAATTAAAATGCGAACTAGCGAATCTATCCATACTATTCTCAAGATCAAAACTATACTGTTGGTGCATTTAGATATTGAAATTAAACGGTCCAGGAAAATTTACTACGTTCCCTTAGTGTCAAACATATATCTCTGCCCAGCCATCACCCCTTAATTAATATTTTAAACTTACAAGTAACTACAACTCGCTCGCTATATACTTAAACCCAATATTTTATGCAGAAGACATTTTTTTAAGAATACAATACTGTTTCTTATCAATACTGTTTCTTATTATTTCCCAGGAGAAGTGAAGGAAATAGGGGATGAGTCTTGTCATGACCAAACATGTAAAGATTCACATGTAGAATAAGGTTTTGTCAGCTTCATAAGTATCACCTGATCGTCCACAACAGGATATGTTAGCGAATTTTATGCTAGTGCGGATAGTTTGCTGATATCCAAACTATCGTTCAAAGATCCGCGGATATCTGCAACGACGATGATGATAATGATCCATTATCCGCGATGAGGCATATTTGCGGATAACGATAACGGGTCATTATCGTTATCGTACGATATGCCGCAGCCTAGGTGGGAGCGCTCGCCCGGAGGCGCAGATTGTTTCAATAACAGTCACCCATTCCCGATTGCCAGCTTGTAAAACGCCCCTCCAACCGGTATAAAATGACTGTGTAATGAGCTTCGTCGTTGCACTAACTCCCATCGCAAACCCCGATTCGTCAAAGTTATAGATATCATCCGAAGTGATACCATATTGAGCAATCGTTTTTTCAACAAGCTTAAACCACTCAATAATGGTATTTGGATCTTCCATTAAGGCGCGTTTATAGTTATATCTGCGAGAGAATCGACTAGAAAGCTCGGGATGTCGTTTAATGTATTGTGTTGGCCAATTCTTGCTAACGGTCTGGGGGGTATGATCTCCACGGTGTTCGAGTAGTAATTTGGCCCTATCTCTCAACATAGCGATCGTAAGAGCAGCACCTCTATGATCCATAGAGATTAACCAATCCTGGATTGATTCCTCTTCTAATTGGGTGAATTTATGGCCTGTAGCCCTTGTGTCAGACCAACTGGTAATCCCTTTCATCCGGTCTTGTAGCGTAGACCGCGGGACTTCGAAGGAGCGAGCAGCAGCAGCAACAGAGGTAAACCGGCTATTTTTAATAGCCTTAATTGCCAGTAGGATTCTACCTTCCTGCTCAACTGATTTCCGAGCTTTTTGACCGCGGATTGGCGGCATGGTGGGCATTTGAAAACAGGAGGTTTAGTGAGGAGAAGGAAAATTGACGTGACTGCCGGACGACCAGCATCCACGTTAGATGATCTGACAGTATAGCTTATGTAACTAGAATGGACGCATAAATTGTGAGAACTAGGGGTAAATGAAAGACAGAGTCATTGATATCTCCAATTGGCCGGATACAGGAAAAAGTGGTGACACATCCATCACAATGCTATTTACTAGAAACTTTTCCTACAAAGTGGACATGTTCCAGGGCTGTGCTGCAGCCACTTGAGTAGACAATCCTCATGGAACATGTGTTCGCAACCCAAAATCTCCACCGCTTTGCGTCTGGAAAGTTTACTCAAGCACACAGAGCAGCTTTTTCCCGTGAGTCGATGCTGATCTCCGTCCTTAACTGCAGGAAAAGTTGGCGTTGGATCCCCAAATATAGTATCGAAATCTCGTAAAAAGTGATAGACTTCTGCGGACAATGAAGGCCGGAGTCGGTGCATGCTTTGTCGGAGTTGCTCATTTTTGGGGTCAAGCTTGAGCGCAACGGAGATGAGAATGCATGATTGTTCTGGGCTGCCCCAAATCTCTTGGGCTTTTGCGTAGCGTAATAAAAATGTGACCCTTTTATCTTTCGCCAGTAACTCCGAAGAACACCAATCACGGGCCAAATCAAGTGATTTTTTGTACCGATTTCCCTGGATTTCTTTCATTTCCATCACCTGTCCTTGTTTGATATGGACTTCGAGTTGACTGCTAATCAAGTCAAACATGAGGCTTTTCCAGTCATTGGTTGCTTTCAAATTGCCATCGCGATAACTTATCCAATGCATCATGGCAGCCAACGCCGAATCATAGTAACCTAGTGCTACGGAAGGATTGATATCGATGTATGTATCCCCGATGGTTCGAAGCTCCGAGGGCAGTTGCAAGAGAAGTGTGTGCGCTGGAATTCCATGGGAGCCATCATGTGTTTCCTGCCCGAACGTGATTGTAGATTGCGGCGAAGTTCTTTTATTCAGCTCTCTCACGAAGCCAGCTGCGGAGTTACTTGTCTCCGGCGTGGCGTCGCAACACTGAATTCTGAACTTGGACGCACGCGGGAAGGAGCGGAAAGAGAGCCAGGAGCATATGCCTACCGCAATTTTCTCCGCATTTCTCGACTCACAATCAAAGAGAAGGTAGCGAATCTCTGTATCTGGCGTAGAATCCATAGAGCAACATACCATGTAATTAGGTTGTGTTGCCGCCGGACGAACACTGGATAGCTCCCCTCCAAACCCATGACTTAGGGGCAGAACACCGTAGAGACACAGATGCATAGCGGTGATAGAACACGCGATGAAGTAAGACGTGAGACAGTGGAGGTAGTACTGTATCTTTCTTTCATAAAGTGTGAAAGGGTTTATTGTGTGGGGAGGACCACCACACCTGACCGAAAGTTTGAGTGGAGCGTGGAAAGTCAAAAGAAACGAAAAAAGGTAATGTCGTCCGCAGTAACGTAGCATTTCATGATTATGTCACGAAATAAGTTCAAGTTTCACCAGAGGTGGGGGACAGCTCTAACCCCGTTAGACACATGACTCGTGGCTCTAAAATTACGTTCCCCCGCCTTCCCCTGTTGGAATATCCCGGTCGCTGAGATAATAAAAGGCTGGGATCACGTGCATACATTCACCTACCTCAACATTTCACTTGTATCTTAGAAAAAACATACAATCAACTCCCCTCAATAATATGACCATTGAAGCATCACTTAATAAACCAACAAAAACCGAACCCGTGAGTTGGGTTGGGTTGGGTCTTAGTCAGCAGACCCGTGGGCGGGTTGTCTTCTGGCAAACCCTGTTGGTTTATTAAGTGATGCTTCAATGGTCATATTATTGAGGGGAGTTGATTGTATGTTGTATTGGGTGTATTGTCTAAGATACAAGTGAAATGTTGAGGTAGGTGAATGTATGCACGTGATCCCAGCCTTTCATTCTCTCAGCGACCGGGATATTCCAACAAACCCAACCCCAGACCCAAATGGGTACCCCGTATAACCCAAAAAAGCAAAAAAAGTTGACGTATCATTTTACATTAAATTGTGAAGTAATCTTCGATTATATAATGGTATTGCGATTGTCCAGGTGCCTTTATCTAAAGCTTAAATAGTATTCAAAACAAACATCGTTGGCGAAGAAAAATGAGATTGGCTTATGATAAAGAAGACTAATATACCTCGTATCCTTGCAGTCGACTTGAAGGCATTGTGACCCTACCAGATGATCTCTTCTGACTTCTATCACCCAATTCCGTGATTGGAGGTGGCTACTTGGTCAAAGTATTTCCAAACGTCGGCGTGACGCGACTCAGTAGACCCTCATATAGACTAAAAGTAAAGGCACTATTGTCACGATTTGTACTGTATCCGGCCAATTGGAGATGTCAATGACTCTGTATTTCCATTACCCCTATTCTTCGCTATTTATGGGTCCATTCTAGTTACATAAGCTATGTCGACGGATCATCTATAGATCCGGTTTCATGCAGGATTCGTAAGGTAATTGCGACAACTATTATTTGCCAGATATATCAGGCATCAACCTGATGTCGGAAATAGGGGTCGATCACGGTGTATTGTAAAATGTACGGAAAGACAAGACTAAATACAAAGAGTGTATCTAACTTTACGTGACACATTCATCGTTGGTGATAAAGTCCAATTTTGTGAGAGTAGCATACAAGAAACAAGCAACCATTTTCCACTCATTATTTTACCATCGTGATGCTCCTTGATATAGCATCGGATTACATGCAGTAGGGCTTCATCTATCTCCCTTTCCTACCCACGACCTATTGTTGGGCTTGCTGTGCGTCCTCAGTATCTGTCATCGACCTGTCTGCTAGTTCAGACTGCCATCGAGCGATCCCCATTTCACTATATAATGCTGCACGGCTGAAAACATCAAGATGATCATTGAGGCTTAGAGCCCCTTTCGCTTAGAATTTGAGCAAACCTTATTCTTGCGGTGAACATTGAGAACAGTAAACGTACAGCCACATAATTCGCATGATACTTTGACGCAATTTATATGTCTTTGTCGTTCGTGACGGAGAAGATTGCTGAAAGTTGAGAACGTACGGCCTTTGCAATCACCCTCCCAGCATACATTGGCAGTTTGGGGGTTTTTCTTCGGTTGCCGAATAGAAGAAGTATCTTCAGAGGGCAGTTGGGAATTGATTCCGGTATTGAAACTGATGCTGCCATGACCTTGGGAATTTGAAGGCTAGTGTGAGAAATGGTGATCAAAATTGTCTCTCTGGCTTTGACACACCACAGTACTGGTTTCTGGTAGGGCGGACATGGGGATAACTGAGGACCAAGCGTTTGAACGTGGCTGGTTGGGATGGTTTCTATTCCAAAGCGCCACTGATTTTTGACGCTCGCAGCCAAAAGTATGCATCGGTTGTGAATAATCTGCTGATCCTCCGGTCACCGGGAAGGGTGCATGTAGTTCGGTAGAAGAATGATTCCTATGATATTGTAAGATGGAAATAATCTCATGAAGTTCACTCTACTTACATGTCGACTGGTAACCTAGATGGTTTGAGGACTGTAAGTCAAAGATATTTTTGTGGATAGAGGAGGACTGACTGTTGTTGTTCTGGTTCTCGGCAAGAGCTGGGACAATGAACCGACAGTTGAGGGGGATCAAATTGCGAATGCAAATATTTTGACAGGGAAGACCAAGGGGGGCCTGCAGGTTTCAATAGTGGCTCAAAATAAAGTGGTTCAGGACTGACCAGGTAGGCGAGACGTACGTGGCGCTGCCACAAGGTTTGTTTCAGTTGCACTGGCACTGGAGAGTGAATGTCTCATCAATATGCGCTCCAAGGTGACATAAAATCGGCTGCCACGCCTTACTTTGTATGAACTGCCATTCCCACTTTCGTCAAAAAGTAATCGTCGCTGGGCGAGGCTGAACGATTGAGCTAACCGTGTTGTTTAGCCCCAAGATATATTCTAAGTAGCCAATAGCGAGAAAATACAACAGATGTATTGACTGGATCCGGGGCGAAATTCGTTGGAGATTGGATCCTCAGACATGCAGGTCGGAAAGTCACACGGAGGAAAAAGGTACTGGATTGAATATAAATAACTAGTTCGGCATTGTCGCCAACTCTGTGAGCTTTACTGTAACTGGATTCGGTCTCCACCTCGGCTATAATACAAAAGTACGTAATTTACGAGTTAGGACACTGTGGAGCATCTTGTTACTAGCATGAGAGAGACCATACTATACCTCTGCTTAGCTGAATGGGTCTTGGTAAGAGCACTGACCCTTGATCCGATTTTCTGAATGCGAGGCCCACCCTGCAGTAAAACACTCTCCTTCTATCAATAAGCCTGGTGAACCTTCATAAACGCTCTGCTGCACCAGGAGGAGCCTTTTAAAATCAGAGACTTTTCCTGATCGAGTTTCTAGCTCTTCGGCCTATGGATGTGAGTTCTTAGAGCAACAACTGTCACGAAAGAGCGATATTGACCACCGCAAGCTCAGTCACTGGTCTGTTTACAACAATGGCCGAGCAGATGCATGACGTGAATGAATATGCCAGATCTCTTATTGAAGCGGTCCTTGAATTTACTGGTACTCAAGACAAGCTTACCACTATCGTTTGCATGACCTGTGGGGAAAACTTTACGTCTTCTTTTCCTGATGTGAACGGAACTGTCCCATGTGGGAACTCCAGGATGTGGGAATGGGCCTATCCTTATGGTGGTGACATCTATGTTTATATCAGCTGTTATAAATACTCAAAGGAATATTCGCAGCAAACCATGGACCAAAGCATGATTTTGGAATTGACAACAGCAATGACAGACAAGTTGTCGGAGTCCAATCCTGAGCCAGCACTGAACGCTTATCTTTACAAGACAGTCATCGCAATATGGGGTTCGAAGGCCGTTACTGTTATACGCGACCTGCATGACCGAGCTTGATTGTTGGCAATGGTAGCCGAGACGAAAGCTGTGTGTAATGTACTCTGAGTCCTTTAATTCTCTTTAATAGATACCGATTGAAGATCTCAGTCACGTTGCAGTCAACAGAAGACGAAATTGTTTTCTCACGGAAAACCTAAAGGAAGAGAAACAGACCTGGAATATCAAACATCACGCATGCTAGCAACCATAGCCAAGTAGGCTTTTTTCCCTTCGCAGTCTCAGCAGCATAATTCTCCTTGAGGCTGTTATGCTCGAGCGAGTTCCGTAAGGTGAAAGGGGCTTCCGCTGCTGCGTGTATACTGAATGACCAGCGAGGTTCAGTCGAGTGAAGGCTTGACGCGAGGCAACATGCAGCAGTGGTGGGTTGAGCTCTTCGAGATCAGTGAGCTGGAGGATTGGATGCACGAAGCTTACACTATACTCGAGAATATGGCTGTCAGCTTACAACTTTCTAGAAACGAAGCAATCGACGGGAAAGACAATCAGTCTGGTTGAGATGGCGAAAAGCAAATACCTGAATCTTACCTGAATATATGAAGAGAATAGAGGACCAAGACTCCACAAGAAATCACTCTTTCTTCGGTGGCTGAAGCAACATATGGCTTTGGTGGGATGGGTTCAATAACCCGAGATCAGGTGCTGAAGGGGCAGCCTGAGTTAGCCGGAACACCTTTGTCCGTCCCGATCCAGACCTTTACCCACGCAAGAGGTTGGTTTCAAAGATGCAGGGCTGACAGCCTTGACAATGTACGTATGATTAAAGCTTTCCATCGCCAACAGTTCACTCAATGGCCAGTGTACGTGTGGCATGAGCAACCAATACTGTGGACAACATGGCGGCAGATGGAGCGTACCACCTCACCTCAGACTCCCTACACTCAGGCGCAAAGAAATCTTCGCAGAGTTGCTTCTTTCTTTCGGCGCGGCTTTCTTCTGCATGCTGTTCACTGTCTCTGGCCTTGAATGCGAGATGAAACATGAGATCTAAACCATCTCTGGCTCAATCACGCCTGCATCATATCAGTATCAGAGTGAGGTGCGTACCTCCTGGCCACTGGAGAAATATTCAACCTTTTTATAATACTGACATCTATCTATCAATAGCCCCGAACATCCAACCTCACGAGAAAGCTCCCCCGGTCGAGTCCTCCCCATGATGTCGAGAAGCTGTGGTCCTCCGAAATAATCTCCGCTTCAAATAATATTGGGATCAGGAATTTTGGGACGTAGGATACGTGGAGGAGCGGTATTGGGATCGTGGGTTGTTGTGATGATGGCATCGAGTGATGCCTTGAGCCATATCGGAACAGTGACTTTTTGACAAGCAAGCAGGGGCGCTTTCGGAATAGATAATCTAGTAAAGAGTTTAGTCAGCCGGCAAAGAGAGTGTTGTACAGGGGAAGAGCTATTTTGAAGCTGTCCACCCGGCTCATATCATAAATTTTGTGTGACTCAATGGAAGACAGTGGGCTGAAGGCAGTTTGTTCTGACCACAGATAGGATTAACCGAAGGTATCGGTACAGGTTCCAAACCGTTGATAGGAACTGTTGTTCAAGTAACTCATTAATCATCTGACGGACCTGTTGTTTTGCAATGGACATACCAGGATACAAGGGTCTTTGGCGCAACTCAAGCCATGTAGTGCAAAAAAGAAAATGAAGCGTGTTTTCACAGGAAGATTTGGAATGCCATCATGTACGAAGACGTGCGATTGGAAGAGTCTATCACCTCTACACCAGCCCCACCCTCTACCTGAGTTTCCATTCTTTGTTCAATTAGAATCTCGCTCCATTGGGTTGCATGCCCATTATACGAAGGTGAAGCCAGATGTGGGATGGGTTTCGAAAGTCGCTTCGGTCGGTGGGAATCGCTTCGGTGATCGGAGGTAAATGGAAGAGCCTCGCCAACATTCCAGCTTCTGAAAGATGGTTGTAGCCAGGAGGTTGAACTGAATGTGTAAGCGTGCCCTGACCCCTGGTCGTTAGGAGGGAAAGAGAATGAGCATGATGAAGTAAGTTACCAGATACAATCACAATAGCAATTTCACAGGCGTAGCATACCAAGAAGAACATAGCTTTCGCAGAGGAGAAAACAAGCAGAGACAGAACTCACAGCGCCGCAAAGTAACGCTTAATTTACCGGCAGATGAGCCGATTATAGGTCAAAGTCTGCCTTGTTTCTCGGGCCAGTTGCGGCCAGCATCTCCGGCCTTCCGATGGTAAAAATGGTACTGATGGGTCCAGGCAGGAATTTACAGGCTATCCCATTTCACATGGATGACTGCGGCCCAGATTCAGTCTAGTCGAAGCGGAGCGGGTCAGATTCCACGCTTTTCCTCGCTCCAGTCTCCTTACTCGTCCACGATTCGTTTTGAGCTGAGCTTGATCTGGCTTTCAATCCACGTTCAAATCACCTGGAAGAGTTTCGGGATATCGAAACTTACTCACTCCTCAAAGGTGTCCTACTTGCCAATATGGTGCTCCGACGTTCCACGTGAGAGACGAGAATGATGCCATTCCAATTCCAAAGCAAGGACCCTGTGGCCATGTTCACAGCAGATAATCACGGTATTCATCCTTCTCTTATCCTCTCCGGATTCCTTGCTTCAGAAAAGATAACGCTGACCTTTCCTCGACCAGCAAACCCCCGAAACGCCAACTAACTCCGGTGTTACCCACAGGGACTACTTCGCACAGTGCCGGAGTGTGACCAGATCTCGAATGAATCATTTTCCATTATTCTACTGCCACCGCAGGCCGGGCGAAATTCTCAACAACAAGTTCATTCGAGATTTTCAGAACGTTGAAGATCACAACCATGGACCGAGACTGCGCGGGCTTGTGTGAAAGAGAGAAGAAATCCCTATTTTGTCCACCTCCATTCCACAAATCGTTCAACACAAGTATGGTTCGAGCCCAGAAGGATGTTAAATTCGTCTTGAGACCCTTGCTGTCCCCTTTCCAGCATCGGCTTTGTGGGCCATGCCTCCACTACCGTGTTGAGATCCTTCATTGCGACCTGCAGATCGGCAGATATAAGATCAGATCGAAACACCCTGATGTACCTAGTCAGAAGTCAGCTGATATAGTGGGGGCACTCAAATCGTTTTCTAACCTCTCAAAAAACTTGTGTCGGTCAATTACAATTGTTCTCGCATCCCATAATTTTAGACTCTGGGCGCTCTCCGGTCGTAGCAAGGAGAATATGTCAATATCCGGTAGGAACTCCATTAGTAATTCCATGTTCGGCATTAGGTCTCTGTCGTCGCCTTGTTTGACCATCTCCATGATCGCATTCAGGTACACTGAATTATGCTGGCGTGAGAATTTTCCCGTGGGGGTTGCAGCAAAGGCGACAATAGGCGCAAGGTTTCTCGAGTACCCAGATACCCAGCATCAGTAATATTTGATACCTAAATGTTATCAGATACCTCTCCGTATGTTTCAGACTTACGTACCTCGATTTTGGCATATTTGTCCCTCTGAAGGGTTTTAGGAAGCTGGATCGCATCCACATTGAGCAGTTCAAGGTCTATCTCTATCCTTGCTAGGCCTTCTAGGAACTGTTGGAAAACCCGCCGAAGGTATATATAAAGTTTACCGTATAGGTCTTCTTTCGCCATTGTCTGCTCCCGAGCAACTTCTTGTATCGGCCACCCATCCAAAGGGTCGGCTTTGTCATCCATTGGCCAGACAAATGAAGGCAAGTAGAATGTACTGGTATATTGCCACGAGTGTAAGCCGGTTGTTTGAGACTTGGTGATCCTGATACTTACGGATTTGGGCTGCTGAAACCGGCCCTATCATGTCCAAATGGAAGAAGAAGCCCATCTTCACGAAACTTCTGCTTTGACAAACGTACAGATGGCGTGGTGTCTTTGAAATACCATCGATCTCGAAAGTCTTGCCTCGCCGGAGAGAATGTTGTGGCCGTCCGAATATGCAAAGCTTTCTGCTGTGCTAGGTCCAGAGGAACTTCGCAGAGTGCTTCTAGTCGGTACCATTCCTTTTTCCTAAGAGCAAGTCGCAGACTTCTCTTACGAGGAAAATTCCAAGTCCTCTCCACAATCTCCCCAGTGGCTTCGGCAGATATTTGTCCACAAACCTCAGTAAATAGAGGTTTTACACGCGATCTTAACTGAGTAATGATATCTTTTGGTAAGGAGGCAGAGTACCAGAGGTGAATTAAAGATTCAGCATTAGTAAAGCCACCGGAGGGTATGGATGTAATCTCCAAAGCCGTAAGGCAAAAAAGGAGTATTATGGCGTTCCTCGCAACGACGTGAAATTCCCGGTCGTTGATAGTCAAATCAATTCGTTGCGCGAAGGGCTGAGGAAGCTCGGAAACGGTTTTGACCACGTTGCGTAAATCACCAGATGCTTAGCATCGTGAGCCGCTATACCCTATTTTGGCACGATGGAGGCTAACTAACCAGCAAAAAGTATCGTGACATCTCGAGAGGTCATTGCCTTTGTTTTGTGCCAAATTGAGAATATCAATTGCTGGAGCGTTACCCCACAGATATATCATTTTGCCAAAAGAATTATGGTGGTTACTCGCAAGTTGTGGGCTTGCAAATGTTGGCGTCCGGTTTTCTCTTTCACAAAATGGGCTCCAATTATGCTTCATCAAACTCGACTTGCAGATTAATTATAATCTGGCCAGTGCGCTGTCTGGCAGCGTTTATCACAGTACTATCATAGATGTTAGACAATCACAACATTAGTATCCAAACTTACCGAGACTAGCTTGCAGTTACTGCACGAGTATCTGCTATCTTTGTTGCAACGCAGGTTCGCACATGAGTATAAGGTAGCTGAGGTAGTCGCAGCCATCTCACAGCCATTAATGTAGTTGTTAGTGAAAATTTTATTATTCTCAGAAGTCGTGGGGCTAGGTCCGACAAACTATACGGCAGGCCAGGCGTGCGAGACAACCAATCAGTTTTTGTCACGACTCGCATACCCCTCACTATCCGAGTACACCCAACGGTTTCTTTTTTATTATACTGTGGCGGGCTATACGTATAGGAACCCAGGAACCCATTCCCAAATTAATGAGTCATGCCGTTGTATCGCTGTCATGGGTTGGAATAGTCGATGCGTCCATCAAAAGACGTTCAACTTACTCTGTGTGTGTGTAGTTCACTGAACTTCACCTCCAGTCGAAACGATACAGCATGGACTGAAATTAGTTTCACCATTTCATCACGGCTGCCACTGCAGGCCAGAAAAGCGATAACGAGCGAATAAAAAGCAAAAATTGTATTTACCAAGTCATGGCAAACCTGTCGAAGTGCAATTACGCGTCATCAGTGCCTCGTAATCGCCGTCATTCCTCGTGTCTGCTCCATGTTGGCGGAATCCATGCACCAGCTTGGTCATATCGGCTTTCTTCTCTAACACCTTTGTTTGTATGCCAGAAGTAGGATCTTTCTGGACTCTTTCATGCTGTGTCACATCAACTGAGCAAATGCTAGTCTACCCTTCTCACAAACTCCGCCCCCGCACCCTATTCCTTTATCGGGTACATACTCAATACCACTCAGCCCTTGGACACGTCAAAGTCTTACAGTCGAGGTAACGCAGGTTGTCATTAGCACGTCAGTCAATACAATTGCAGCCCTAAACAACAGCTTAAAAGAGCTTCTGTATCGGGCTGGTTAGTTCTCCGGAGGTTCTAGAACATTGGTCCAGCAAATAAGCCAAGCAGACTAATGCCAGCTCGTTCGGAGACGTGGCAGGATTTCGCACCCATAATCTACCAACCATTTAAAATCTAGAATGACCCTTACGACAGAGACAGTACTGGTGAATAATCCTTCCTTGTGTCATGTAGCAAGCTTGGCCGTCTCATCGGGGCTGGCATCTACTGAACCGACTGATCGTGATCATGCTGACTTAGGATCCTTCAGAAACCTTTGAGAACAATGATTGCTAATGGATGCGTTGCTAACATTAGCTTTGATGATCATAAATAATGAGCCTCGTATGGCGTCTACTTTGTATCTTGAAAGATCTTCATATTTCTGATAGGCTAGCAAACATCGAAACATGCCGGCCTTTCGTGGAGCAACAATCCGCACACGGTAAGTGTGCTGAAGCCTGATAGTAAACATAGTTTGGTCATTTATATCGGGAACTATCGCCGCAAATTTTGATAACGAAGCAGGGACGTCAGTTGACTCGAATTCTGCCACAACCAGAGGGTAAGTTACCATGGTCTAACTGAGAGCAACTGAGAAAAACCCTCCGCATGTTCTTATAGATGTTGAATCGATTCTGAGAGCAATGTGATAGACCCGCAAGACACCAGATCATCCATCCGTTTCATGCGCTATAATTTTCTCTAATACCCCAAATGATGCGCCAGAAATCACAGACGAAAGGGCCGCCTTCTTCTAGAATCTCTCGGAAACATCCATTGTCCCCGATTTGACCAAGAATTGAAACAACGTAACGAGTTACAAAATTCCTCATGGCATCAATCTTTTCACCGTAATTCGGTGCTGTGTTCATGTAGACATATCGAACAAGTTCAATGATGCCACTTAATCCCGTATCGTAAAGTTTGAAGTTTTCCAATGTTTGATGCAATTTAGAAAGTACCAGTTGGCACAATGAGTCGATGCAATATTTGTCAGCCAGCACGTATAGTCGAGCTTGTTCGAGTAACACAGGAGTGAAATCTTCCCAAGACCCAGAATTTTTGGGTGGCGTGAAGTCATAGCTCAATTCGGTAGGTAGTGGACTAGGAACGACTAGGCTCCGTTCAAATGCCTCGCGTAATTGCCCGGTCCACACGCTTCTCTCTTTATATGGAATTTCCAAGTCTTGAAAAGCTTCTTCGGATGGGGGCGTTTCCGGCTCAGGTTCCTGCTCAGGTTCCGGCTCGGGTTCTGGCTCGGGCCAACCTTCCGGCTCGGGCTCAGGTGCAGGCTCCATAAGAGAGTTGTTCCAGTTGATATTCAAGCGGTTCTTCTTGTTGCGTTTCTTCTTCTCTTTTTTGGTCTCCATTATCTTTGTAGGAGGAGACTTCCCATCGATCAAGCGAAACGCCGGGGGTGTGTAGTTTCGGAGATATGCAAATTCACATAAGCGAGAAAATGTGTCTTCATCGACATCTGACCAGTCAACGTGTCTAGTTTTTGCCTCTATCATTTCACCATTCATGAGAGTATTCAGAGGCTTTGAGAGTTCTGCCAAAGCAAAAGAATGCAAGGTGACTTCCTTCTTGTTTTCACCAACAGTAAATGTGAACAAGGGAGAGGAAAGGCACCTAAGAGCGTTAGTACCTAGATAATACAAGCTTCCCATGTATCACCCACCTCCCAAAGGAACCCTCCATTAAAAATGATGGTTGCTAGAGTAGAAAGCAGATCGAAAGATGTCTTTAAAGGTGCTAGCAGGTTGACATATGTTGCAAGATGTCTTTCATGTCTACTATTCTTCCAAATCACGAGCGCTACGGTTACCTTAGTGCTGCAACGTGTCTTGATTTAATTGGTCAAAGAGACAAGTCGCTTGTTCATAATCGACAAAAGTTTCTGTTTTTATTAAAAAAGAAAAGAAAAGAATTGCCCAACTTTCAATTCTGTACGTATCTCAGGCACTACAGACAACATTAGGATATGGAATTTTCACTTATAAATTTGTGGGCTTTGTTTCACATGGATTCAAGCAGCCTTCGACTCTTAAACACCCTCACAGCTACAAGGGACGACATTGGACAGCTCATATGTGATTGTTTGTGCATTAGTCTGTTGATCAAGACTGCAATGAGCGCCGAGCACATTGGAAGCGGTGTGAGGCAAACAGTAACAGATTATCGGAAGATTCTCGTTCGTTCAGGGGCTTGAGTCATTGAGTACATAGTGAGTAGTTCAGTGAGCCTGGCGTCAAAGCCATATCACGCCTATATGGAAAGTTCCCGTCGCATTAGCAGACTATCAATCGGTGGAGACATCGAAGGGCTCATGATAAGACTGCATTCGGAAGCAGGCGATGGCGCTAGAGCTATTAGAATCAAATGTATTGGTAATTCACGAAATTTACGGAGAAAGCAATCATGTGATACTAGTTAACAATATGTTTCGATACCCTGAAATACGCTAGAACAAATAGTTATGGCATGACGTATAGGTGCTGAATAAAAGGATCATACAGTACACTAACGTAATTTCCAAGCGAGCGGCCCACCCAAGCGAGCGGCCCAGGAATCCTAATCTATCAATTTCAAATGCATTTATCTCAACCAAAACGCCATTAAATTCAATAAGCTAAACTCGAGGTCTATTAGGACAGGCATTTTTCTTATGACCTTGAATTCCACATCCTGAGCACCTCGGTAGGGCCCTCGTACGTGGCTCAGAAGGTGCCGGAATAGCGCCTACCTCGCTAGGTATCGGTGCTAAACCTACTTGCTCTGGCCGTAGCATCAATGTAGAGGCTTCTTGAACTGTAAGGCCTTCCTCTGAAGGTATTTGCCCTGTAGATCTAGCCCTTTTTCGCTTCTTCTTCTCGTTTTCAGCGCGTAAATCGCTTACTTCTTTCTCGAGAATAGCTGCCGATTGCATGGTTAATTGGCAAGCTTTTAAAACCTGATTTATCGCAGAATTTAGCGGGCTCGGAGGGCTTTTTGAGCGCTGTTTTAATAAGGCTTTTATCGAGGAAGCCTGTTTCTGCAATTGGATATAATTTGAGGGCGTTTTTGGCTCCCACTCGCTACCCCGGCTCGAGGGGGGGGGGGGGTCGGCGTACGAAGGCAGATATTAAGCTCTGAGATAACCCGATCGGGGCTATAAGGCACTAAACCGGCGGCGGCGAAGCTATTCTTAATAGTCTCCGATTTAAATGCCTCAATTCGTGCGGTCGGATAGGCTTCGAGGAAGTCAAGTTTGTCGATATGGCTTTTCCCAACGCGCATTTTTGATTCAACAAGTTGACCGTACGCGCGGTTTAACACCGCAAAACAGCCAATATCAAGAGGCTGTAGAAGATGAGAAGAATGCGGAGGCATACAAATTGCAATAATATTATTTTCCTCGCAAATTTTATCGAATTGCGGCGTTAAATGACTTCCGTGTCCATTAAGTATCAAGAGTCTATACTTCCCCTTCGTACGAGAAGAAGTAGACGGAATAAAGAGCTGTTTAAGCCAACGAACTCCAATTTTATTAGAGGTCCATCCATTCGGGCTAACCTCGAGTCTCCAATCATTCGGAAGGCTATCGAACCAAGATTCGATAAAGACTTTGCCTTTAAAAATCACGTAAGGAGGAAGCGCCCACCCCGTTGAATTTATACACTCAATTGCAGTAACCCACGCGCGATTTCTAGGCTGTAAAAGTACTCGCCGACCGTAGTATTCACTTCTCGTGATTACTTTTGTAGTCGCAATCACGCCCATTGCAAAACCGGTCTCGTCAAAGTTATAGATATCGTCGGAGTCAATACCGTACGAAAGGATTGTTTTTTGGACAAGCGAAAACCACTCGGATATCATTTTTGGGTCTTCGCATTTAGCTCGCTGATAATCGTAATGTTTCGAGAATCGGGAGGTAAGAGAAGGATGCCTTTTAACGAAGTTTGTAACCCAATTTTTACCGACCGAAGGAGGGGGGGTAGATCCACGCGCCCCTAGTAGTAAATCTGCCATCTCTCGTACAGTAGACGGCCGAGGGGCTGCTCCACGTAAATCCATAGAGAGAATCCATTTTTGAAGAGATTCTTCCTCGATTTCAGTCAATTTATGTGAGTTTGCGCGGTGTTCGACGCGATTTGTAGAGCCAGCAAGACGGCGGGGGAGCGTTGTACGAGGTACATCAAATTGGCGCGCAACTTCATGAAGAGAGGATATCTTTTTATTCTTATAAGCTTCGATAGCTAATAAGATCCTACCCTCTTGCTCCGTACGTTTTTGAGAGGATTGAGCACGAATTGGTGGCATGATAATGGATGAAAGATGGAAGGTTATTAAACTGACGCGTTTTTTGGATTACTGGGCCGCTCGCTTGGGTGGGCCGCTCGCTTGGGAATTACGTTATATGGCCCTGCTATATACTGAGATACAGATCTGGCCTGTAACATTACCGACCCTCTGCTTTCTTCCTTCTCTACAAACATTCCTCTCTTTCAATATTAAGAACCCCTACTCTAGACTATCCTTATTGTCGAGATCAGATATATATTGCTTCCTCCCTGGGGTTTACTCCTTGGACTATCCCTTCTTCCCCTCCGGATATCTCTCAATTCTTCTCCCGATATCTCTATATCCTTACTTATCCACTACCTATACCTCTCTCTATTCCTGTGACACTATATACTTTTATATCTAACCCGTATACCCTTTACTCTACTAATAAAGAGGAGTACGCTTGCTTAAACTATCCAGATCTGCACCCTCTACTTCAGAATTCTACATTTCCTCTCTCTGTTTTAAAACTACGGTTGCTGTCTCTTGTGGAACCCTCGATCTGACATAGCTTTTGTGAATACAGTGCTAGATATACTACCTATCTTGCATTTCCTCGAACCCTACCCTTATACAAGGGTTATATAAGCCTCTACGGTAGATTGAATTACTCCTCTACTATATTCGCTAATATCATCCCCGACAATAGTATAACCGAAACTCACTTATGGAGGAGTATAATTCCCCTTTACCTTGGCATTTCGCCGCTCATCTGCCGTAGCACACACTCTACCACCGCAATTGCATTCGAACTCCGTTCCCCAAACATCCGCCGCTCACCCCCGAGCCATAGCATATATTCCACCTCATCTCCCTTCACTTCACTCCCCCCAAGTCCATCCAGGAATTCTGCAGCCCATCCATTCTTCTGAAACACTGCCCAACACAGCGGTAATACTAAATCAGGGAATTCGCATCCCCCTCGCCACCGCTGGTCGCAGATCCTTTGGGGCTGGAAGCACTGATAGCAACTGCTATATCCGCTGAACCACCCCCGCGGCTCTTCCCGTGCCTGTTGGCCTTTTTCTTCGAATCAAAGTAACGATACCGCTGCTCATTCCCACACTGCTCCATCGAGTGTCGTGTGTGGCCCTCCTGTCCGGATGCCACCCGCGGGAGATGGTAACAAATCATACATACCCCCCGCCATAACTCAATTCCCTTTTGGTAGTCAGCAAGCCCCCATGCCTGCTGCCGGATCTGGCCCCGGAGTAAATCTCGTCCACACTCGAGATCCTGGAGATCATCTTCCTCTCGGCCCCAATCGTGTCGCCCGTCTATTACTTGGGAGGTGGGTTGCTCCCCGGCCCGGTTGCAATTATCGCACATGGCTGCCCCAGGCCGACATACCATTCCCCCGTCGTCCAGATACTGCGACAGTTCGTAAGCCCGGCATCTCGTAGTGCCGATATACCCGTCGAGCGCGCGATCTCCATCCCCAGCCTTCAGCCCAGGCCGTATGTCCTTTCGAGGTTTCCATCCAGTCGGGACGAGCACGACGGATCGCCCCCCTTGACCATCGCGCCCAGCCCGGCCGACCTCTTGCGTAAAGTCGATCAGCGTCCATGGGACCCCAACGTGAACCACCCACCGCACTCGGGGGTAATCGATTCCCATCCCAAATGCAGAGGTAGCCACGATATACGGCGGCTTGCCATCCCGCCACTGCTGGAGGACTGCCGCCTTGTCCTCGGTGCTACCAGAAGCAGAATGATAGACGGGCGCCCGGATGAGCTGGGCAACCTCTTCGGCCATATCCTTAGCGCAGCAGTAGATGATCATACGCTCGCCACTTCCGAGAAGCCCAATACCCTGCTGAATCCCCGGCACCGCAAACTCTCGCACCAAGTCCTGCTTTGGGGGACACATGCTGACTTGGTAGTATATGTCTTGCCGCGTCGTCGGGCCCCGGACCATACGTGCTCCGCGAAGTAACATGGCTTCTTCAAACTCCGGTACCCTACTAGGTGGCATCGTTCCGGTAAGAAATACCATCTGGCACGCAAGCTCCCGGATCCTGGGGAGCAAGGCCATCGCAGGTCGG